CCTCTCACTCTCCCTGTCATGTCCTTGCTGGGCCTGAAATAGTGCTTGGCCCTTCTGGCAGAATCTGTTGGATTCCTATTTGAAGCTGATTTGAAGAAGAAAAGAGCAGCCATAATACCTGAAATTAAAGCAAAGCATTCACTATGATTCTGCCAGAATCTGCCAGAATCCTCTTGCATGCAGTAAGATTCTCATGTTGAGAAATGGTGTATTTTACTTTTTTTCACTTAGAATCACCATTAATCTGACTGGCATGGCAAGAAATGAAAATATTCGCTCTGCAAGATTCTGTTGGATGCTGCCAGAAACAGACTGAATCTGGCTGAATCTGTCTTTGCAAAAATGATTCATTTCAGAAGTACCAGAATATGTCTGAATTAGCATGAATTCTTACAGAATCAGACAGAATCAGACAGAATCCTTGTGATTCATGAAGAATTAAAAATCAATCCATGTATTTTTGTCCAGTACGGCACTCCATACATCCCTTTGGTGATGTTCAATGCCCAAGGCACAAGATGTGCCAGAATGACCTACAGGGTGTCAATGGCCGTTCTACACAGTCTGTGGGCTTGATGGTAATCATTCTGATTAAAAATGTAGACTAGTTTCGACAGAAACACCTTTGTACAGGTTTGAGAAAGCACATTAACAGAGCAGAGGGCCCAAAACCTGCCTGATGAAAATTTTCGCAGAAGATGATTTCCTCAGAGTTAGATATTATTTCGCCTCGAGTAATGCTATTTTTGAAATAGGTTCTCGTCGATTCTATTTCTCGGGGACTTATTGAAGGGACTCATTGCAGGGAATGTGGCAGAAGCGGAGAAGGTGTCTCCGGGAAGTTCCGAAGGTTCTAGGTTCCGAGAGACTGATGACTTAGCCTCCCACTCAAGCTCACAACTGGAACACGACCAGAACGCGACCGTCAACAGCAGTCAACCAAGTCACCGATTCAGACGATTTCTCCCTTACTTCGTCGTGGACTGTGCCATTGAAGTCTCGAGATGCTCCTACCACAATGCCTATCAAGCCCGAGGCGTCGCAGAGCAATTCTTCTGACTATTACGAAGACGATGACTCCGAATTTCTCGAGGCGTTGAACAACGCGGTCTTACCTGGCGACTTACCTCGAGAGCCAGTCGGTCATGAGGCGGAGCAGAAGTTCTCTCAGGACTCAACATCCTCAGAGGAACTCGAACCACCCCCACCAACGCAACCTTGCTTGAAGAGATCAAGGAGTTACTTGAGGCGAGAAGAACCAGAAGAAGAGGACAAGAACGACGAAGTGGATATTGATGATGATACCTATGGAGCCTCTCGCTTTGGAGGTTTTGGAGAATACATGCGGAGGAAACGGGCAAAGCTGCAAATCCAAAACGCGGAGATCAGTCAAGAGGCAGGCTCAGATAAACGCGATGGAACAAGTCGGATATTCCAAGGTCTCTCCATCTATGTAAGATCTTCTCTCTGTGCGTCTTGTTTAATTTTCTCAGGAAGCGTAGATTAACGGATACACACGTCCATCTGTGCAAGAATTACGGCAACTCATAGTCAATCATGGTGGTGTATTTCAGGCATATCTTGACCAGAAATCGTTGGTGTGAGTATGGCTCCTCTTCGGTGCTGTGGCCATGACTGAATAGTACTTTTTAGAACCCATATCATTACTTGCTCTCTGACGCCTGCCAAGATACGCGAGTTTAAGCACATGAAGGTTGTTCGACCAGAGTGGCTCGTCGAAAGTGCTGAGCAAGGGGTTCTTCTTCCATGGAAGAACTACATATACATACACAACGAGAGAATTGAAGTTTCTCAAGGTGCGAAGGGCAAGCAAAAGGGTCTTCTGGATGAGAGCAGCAGCACGAGCAACACCGAGACCTCGGTATCGACATTCGGCCAGGCTGCCACGACATCGAAACCGCCTGTCTTTGCCTTTCCACCACCCAAGAAACCCCTCCCTGCTCCTGATCCTTTGTATACCACTGACCCCGTCACCAGAGCCGATGCAGCACGCGTTCCAGGTTATGCGGCCGACAAGTCCAACCCGAACGCCCAACGAGCCATGGCCAACCCTGAATGGCGCAAAGCCCACACCTCCGTGTCATCCGGTTTCATCGAAGGATACTACAAGAATTCGCGTCTGCACCACCTGTCCACGTGGAAGTCGGAGCTGAAGGATCTCGTCCAACTTGCTCAAGAACGAGCCGAGTCTGCCTCGATATCCGGACATACAGGCAAGGTTGCGTCGGAGGCACAGCCTGAAGGCAGCGGCACTGGTGGAGGAGTAAGCATGCGAGGCAACGCACTTGTTATACGCTCGCCGACGTCGAAATGGAAGGGCAAGGGCAAGGCTACAGGTGATGAGGAAAGAGTGATCATGCACTGCGACTTTGATTGCTTCTTCGTTTCTGCTGGGCTGGTCAGTAGACCAGAGCTGAAGGGAAAACCTGTTATTGTTTGTCATTCGCAAGGTTCAACGGGCGGGGCATCGAGCACGAGCGAGATTGCCAGTTCTAGCTATGAGGCGCGGAAGTTCGGGATCAAGAATGGCATGAGGTGGGTTTTTTGTGCTTCTGTCGTCGCCTACCCAGCAAGCTGAATCTTAATATTAGTTTACAGCAAGCCAGACAACTGTGCCCCCAAGTCATCACGATACCCTATGAGTTCGAGCGCTACAAAGAGTTTTCTCTGCTTTTTTACACCGTCCTCATGAAGCACGCCGACGACCTTCAATCCGTCTCAGTCGATGAGGCCCTCATAGACGTTACCAACACCGTCAGCGAGCTCCGTTCTCAGGCTCAAAGTCGAGGCTCTATTCAAGACCCAGCGAAGGACTTCGCAGAGATGATTCGTGCTGAAGTGAGGAAAGCCACTACCTGCGAAAGTATGTTCCTACCATGCATACGAGCATAATGGCAATTCACCAATTTTCGTCAATTAGTCAGCATAGGGATCTCTCACAACATCCTCCTCGCCCGTCTAGCCACCCGACGCGCCAAACCAGGTGGCTCATACCACCTCACACCACCCGAAATTCCTGCCTTTCTTGCGCCTCTAGATATCTCCGACTTGCACGGCTTCGGGTGGTCGACGAAGCAGAAGGCGCAGGAGAAGCTCGGGACCACAAACCTCAGCGAGCTGACGAAGAAGAGCAAGGGTGTGTTGATAGAGGCTTTGGGTAAGGCGACGGGCGAGACGCTGTACAACGCCCTAAGGGGTGTGGATGATAAGAAGCTCGAGTCGGATAAGCCGAGGAAGAGTGTGTCCTGTGAGATCAACGTGAGTGCCTTCCGGTTACTGGATGAGAAGAGGTTGTTGATGAGTCAATGACAGTATGGTATTCGGTTTGAGAACAATGAGCAGGCGGAGGCGTTCATTCGTCAGATGGCTGCGGAGGTCAAAAAGAGGCTGGATGCGATTGATATGGTTGGCCGGTCCATCACTCTCAAGATTATGAAACGAGACCCTACAGCTCCAGTCGAACCACCTAAAGTATGTTTTCAGTTTTTCTCATGCGGATGCCGCTTGACCAAAGCTTTCGTAGTTCCTCGGTCATGGCGCCTGCGACCTATTCAACAAGCAATCGCCCCTCATCGGTCCAGGAGGCCGAGCCACCAGCGACGACCAGGTCATAGGAGACCAAGCCTGGCGACTGCTGAAATCCTTCAACTTTGACCCAAAGGATCTCCGTGGGATCGGTATCCAGGTTCAAAAGCTCGAGTCGAGCTCGGCTGCCACTACCGCACCAGCTGGCCAAGCTGTGCTAGCGTTCAAGACGAAGACCTCTGTTGGTTCGTCGAAAGATGTCATGCCTCCGCCTGAGACTCGTGTCCAGCCTCCTTCGAACAACGCTGCTGCTACAAGTGGCGATCCAGTAAAGCCATCGAATCCAACTTTCGACCTGCCCTCGTTCTCACAAGTGGACAAGAGTGTTCTGGCAGCACTTCCGCGAGATATACGAGAAGAGTTGGAGAATGAGTATAAACGGCGCTCGGCGTCTCCTTTTACGTCTGCTGTACCAGGAGCTGCGCCAGCACGAGGACCGCCGATGGGGCCACCTCCAGTTCCAGCCAACAGACGATCCACTACACCAAACATCTTTCCTGCGAAGCCTGCTGGACGAATGTCAAATATCCAGCGTATCGCACAGCAGCTTCAGCCTCGCAGCCGTTCCGGTCTGTCGCCCAGCAAGAGCTCCCTATACGCGTGGGCCCGCAAACCCGAGAAACCAAAGCACGTCAAGATCAGCCTTTCCAAGCTCCGCGAGCTGAAACTCGATCCCGAAGTCTTCTTCGCTCTCCCAATCAAGGTTCAGAGGGAACAGCTCACGCGGGCCCGCATCCTTCAGCAGAAGGGATACATCCCTGAGCCGCCGAAGGAGCGCAAGATTCTCAAGCCGAAGAAGTTCGTCCTCCCGCCCGATTTTGTGCCGTACATCGCGCCGAAACCCAAGGCCCGCCACCCGCCACCGCCGTTCCTCCGCCAGCAGGGAAAGACCAAGGGCGAGAAGCTGTACTTCACCGAGACGGACGATGTTCAGCGTGTAGTCGAGTCATGGGTGGATGTGTACCACCGGTGGGCACCGAGAGACAAGGATGTGGAGTTCTTGCAGAAGTATATCGTCCAGTGCGTTGATCGGGCAAGGGCGACGGACGTAGGTGTGGAGAGGGCGATCGCAGTGATGCAATGGTGGAGGATACTGCTAAGGAGGTTGTTCCCTGCGTCTGAGGTTCTCGATGAGGACGATCCGGAGGATATGGCCCTCAGTCAGAGAAATTTACTCGGCGAGGCGTGGTGGGCAGCTTTCTATCAGGTGAAGGAGGAGATGGATGTCATCTCGAGGAAGAGGTTTGGGGGCGTCTTGTCATTGAATTGAAGAAGGGACGTAATGCGAATATCTCGTTTGTGCATATATTATTTCGATCTATCTGGGCACCCCTGGACCATGTCGGGAGAACTTGCTTCTAAATGCCGTCCTTCATGCAGGTTGCCATCTAGATGTCACATAAGACAGCGCAGCACCAGTGCCCACATTACATGTGTGTGATAATGAGCGACCTAAGAATAAACTGGGGCTGCAAAGATTGCATGTGACAAATGGCCGGTTGAGAGAGAACGGCCTCATTGGAAGATTCGAAGCGTCAGGTATTTCCGCCGTTGCACACCACTGGTCATTTCCGACCCATCTATGGGCGCTAAATCACTAGTATGACAGTATGAGGCGAATCTTATTCTCAGCCGGACTTGACTGACATTGACAGGCACTTCGCGAATAACGCATCTCTTCGCTGCGGCGACAGATCTACATATAAGTATCTCAACGAACGTCGAGGGCAATCTCCAACCAACCAATTAACCAATTCATCCAGGTCTATTCATTCACCGACCAATCCTACCAATGAACGACTCAGACCTCCTTGTTGCGTACGTTGACACGGCTCCATTGCATTCCAAGTAGTGCTAAAAGCCTCGCCAGGATTATGGGGGCTACTGGCAGTGGTAAGACATCGGTAAGTAGGCTTCGCAGCAATGCTTTCGGTCAAACGCCTGAAATATTTTCTAGTTTATCAACGTTGCGAGTGGTAGCACTTTCGGTGTTGGAGAAGGCCTAGTCTCGCGCACAGAAGCTGTGCAGACAACACATGCGTTCCACGTCGATGGCCGTTCAGTGAGGCTTGTGGACACCCCGGGGTTCGACGACACGACACGCTCCGATTTTGACATTCTGAGAACCATCGCGGACCACTTGACCTCCTCGTAAGTTCATGCAAGCCAATATTAATGAATAACAGACACTTACCATTCGATGGCGCGTCGTAGATACAAGGCAGGGAAGAGTCTCGCTGGAGTGATCTACATCCATCGCATCTCAGATATCCGCATGAGCGGAATCGCCCGCAAGAACTTCAGGATGTTCCGCAAGATATGCGGCGACAGCACCCTGCGGAACGTGGTCATCATGACCAACATGTGGGGGTCAGTCGAGCCTTCGATTGCAGAGGCGCGCGAGGCAGAGTTGGCCAGCGGAGAGCTGCTCTTCAAGCCTGTCCTTGAAGCTGGGGCGACGATGCTGAGGCACAGCGGGACGAGCGAATCTGCGCACGACGTGTTGAGGCATATCATCCAGAACCATGGTGGGCCGCTCGTCTTGGACGTGGTGCGCCAGATCGAGATCGAGCACAAGGGCCTGGAGCAGACGGACGCAGCAGATGCGTGTAGAGACGAGATGGCCAAAGAGGCAGACCGGCTTCACCGAGAGGAGATGGAGAAAGTGCAGAGGGAGATCGAAGGTAATATTATATTAATGAGTCGCATTACCCAGTCTAAGGCTGAGCCTAATATTCTGTAGCAGCTCTCAAGCAGCAGGAAGAAGAGGCGAGGCGAAGGATCGAGGAAGAGATACGAAGGCACCGCGAAGAGGCCGAAAGGGCTGAAGCAGAAGCAAGACGCGCCGCTGAGGAGATGCGACGACAACGAGAGGAGCTCAAGCGGCAGATGCACGCAGCGCAAGAAAGGGCCAGAGAAGAGGCACGACGTGCTCAGGAGGAATACGAGCGCCAGCGCCGGCACCGTGAATGGGAAGCGAGATGTGCTGCTAAAAGAGCCGAGAGGGAGCAACGCGAGCTTCAGGCCCGGATCGACGAAGAGCGCCGGAGACGTGAGCAGGAAGATAGTGACGACGAGGGTTGCACAGTGCAGTGAACGGCTCGGATTCCCGGAGATGAGAGATGTTCCAACTTGATACCGCCCAAGACTCGGAATGATGTCATGAGATCTGGTCTTTCTGTCATAATAAGTATGCCTGTGCTTGCTATCGCGAATTGTTATTGGCCTGGGTTACGCACCCTAGTAGAGCACATAAACGGGCATCAAGAAGCGTTCGATGAAGGCGCCCGTGGAGCGAGGACCGAATAGAAACTGTGCCCGTCAGCTGGAATGAACGTGAACAACGAGGCAGTGGAGTGCACACACGTTGGCCTGTATTCGGGGGTGTGGTAGACGTGAACGGCTGCGGTGTGAAGGGTATTTTTGGGCTGCCAGAGCTATGTGGTGTACTATATGAACCGCGACATCCTGTCGCAGAACTCAGCAAAGCAGCACCCCCGCTCCTCTCACTTCCTTGCTATGCGCTACAACATGGGCATCACCACGCCACATCCTGACAACATAGGCCTGTCCGCAGAGCGGGCACAGGAAGGAAAAGAGCGCCTGATGTCGTGGGTGTTTGTTTTTGCCTCTTCGTTGCTGTAATTCCTAAGTGCCATGAGCAGAACCTGGACCCAGTCGACTACCGCCAATGCCCAGGTAAGCGTGCGTTTGTTCCAGAAATTTAGGATGAGGATTGATTTGTCTCTGATGGCTGGTAGTCGCTCATCGAGGACGACTCCGATGTCGCTATCGCGTAGGCGCCCAGCGAGCCGTTCTTCTCATTGATCTGACGTTCGTATTCAGTGTCATGGGTGCGACAGGCAGTGGAAAGACAACAGTACGTACCCATCTGCCTGGGCGGTTTGCTTAGTCGGTAACAAACCGCCACCGTAGTTCATCAACTTAGCTAGTGGTTCCAATCTCCGGATCGGAAGAGGTCTCATATCCTGTACCAATGTGGTCCAAGTCGCAGAGGCATTCGAGCTAGGTGGCCGCACGGTGACTCTCATCGACACACCAGGATTCGACGACACCACCAAGAGTGACGCCGATATTCTTCGCATGATTGGTCTATTCCTGGCGACAACGTGAGCTCTTCCTGATAGCCCCTACCATACGCTGCATCTAAAGGTCGTCTCGTAGATACCAGCAGGGAAAAAAGCTGGCGGGCGTCATCTACATCCACCGCATCTCCGACTTCAGGATGGGCGGAATATCCACGCGCAACTTCAAGATGTTCCGTGAGCTCTGCGGCGAGTCAACGCTCAAGAACGTCGTTATCCTCACGAACATGTGGGGTGAAGTCAGCCGCGAGGTCGGTGAGGCGCGCGAAGAGGAGCTCGCGACCCAGGACATGTTCTTCAAGCCCGTGCTGCAGAAGGGGGCCCAGCTCCTGCGCCACGGGAACACTCGGGAGTCGGCGCACTTGGTCCTTCGACACATCATCGAGAACCGCCCGCTCTCGCTCCAGATCCAGCGCGAGCTTGTCGACCAGAAGAAAGATATCTCGCAGACCGCCGCTGGGGCGGAGCTCAACAAGGAGCTCATGCTGCAGATCCAGAAACACCAGAAGGAGATGAAGCAGCTTCAGAAGGACATGGAGGGTAAACTCACTTTCTTCTTCGCTGTGTATCGAACTGACCCATTCGGTAATGATATAGAGGCCATCCGGACCAAGGACGAGGAGACCAAACGCGAGCTTGAGATCGAAACGAAGAAGCTGCAAGCAGAGATGAGCCGAGTCCAAGCAGACGCGCAGAACCTCGTCTCAGAATATAGCAAAGAGAAGGCGAAGATGGAGGAACGCATGAATCAGTTTGTTGAGCAGTCTCGCATCGATGCAGAGAATGCAGCACGAGAACACGAGCAGCAGCTTGCGGCCGTTCGTACGCAGCTGGAGCAGAGCTCGTCGGCGTCCGCAGCGGAGAGGGCCAAGCTTGAGTCAAAGCTGGTGGCATTGCAGAACATGCCCCGTAGGCGAAGGGGAGGCCTCTTCGGTGCAGTGGGAAGTTTCATCGACGGCCTCTTTGGTCTTTGATATCCTGAACCCGAATGCTTGTCGCAGTATGAACTGTTCTGATTTTGCTGTGTCTATAGGCGATGAATGTTAGTATCGTCAGAACCCCAAAATGGGGGAAAATACCAGATTGCTTGAACAAGGCCGACTGCTAGTCAGTAGTGCACGTCCATAAATTCTTCCTGTACCCCGGCGATTGTGGTGGATCCAACTTTGTCTTCGGTAAATACTACGCATTGGCACCCGATATCGATTCTTCGCCCTCTGGGCGACGCTGACGCACGTCGGTGTTACGCTGTAACAATGCAACCTTGAGTGCAATCCTCATAATCTCGTGGCAGTATCATCGAGGAAGAAATGGTCTTGCTATCCTCTTCCTAACCAAACAATCGCGAATAGAATCCTTTCACAAGCCAGAATGATACAGAGACATTACGCAACTTCCATAGTCGCAAGAGCGTTCAAACGGGGAGGACAACACCTCTGCGACAACACGCCACTGCCGAAATGCACTCCAGAGAGACAGCGCCGAAGAGAAACGACCGACGAGCAGCAGCCCGAGCAAGGTGAGAGGAATAGATGCTTTGCGTCCGTCTGCGCGATGACAGGAATTGTTGCCGTGTCTCAGGTAAACAAGAGAAGCCACGAAAAAGCGCAGCCTAACGAGAGCCTTTCCATCTTGAACCGCAACCTTCACCACGTCCAGGATGCCACCAGCACCGAGCAAACTGTTTTCGACCTCAATCCCAAGTTCCAGCGAGGAGTCCAGATAGCGTCCTATGACGCCCACCGCACGCGAGTCGCGACCCATGCTTCTTGCCCCGCATGATCGACAAGAAAAAGTTTTACTTGCCCCGAAGAGACGAGGGCGTCTGAGGTGGAGGTCGACCGGCGACGCTTTGAGGAGACAAGGTGAGTGCTCGTTATCATACTAGTAAAATGAAGAGTCTGCACCTCATGCCATTGGTATAAGTCAGCACAGATTTCGGCCAGCCAAGACCATTCCTACCATCATCAAAACCATTCATCATCGACGGACAGCATGGCAGACATTCGAGCCTTTCAGAGAGGTCTTTTCGGTCTTTTCGAAGCCTTTCCACTTGTTGGGATCACACATTGCGGGGGAGGCAGTGGCATGGAAACTCCGGCTCCAACTCGCTCCAGTTCGGGATAAGGCAGACCGGAAATCCTATCGTCGTCGACACCGCTGGAAATGGCTCTCGATACCTCTTCTATTATTTCATTCACCCTCAAGACAAAAGTCGAGGAAGAATAGATGAATTATTGTCGAAAAGGGACAATGCTGCTTGTAATGACCTTCAAACGATCAGCCAGCCAAAGATGCCAAGGCCAAGCAAAGGTCGGCGCTGCATTTTTATTTCCTTCCCACATCACCGGCACCCTCTTTGCGTCCCTTGGTTTTGAAATTTCACTTAAGGTTGGTTGAACCGCAATCCTCTCTTTTCCTCACCCTCTTCCTCTTCTCTGTCCTTTCGTGTGTGTCGGAATTTTTGGGTGTCTCTCTCTCTTCTTTTCTTGTCTCGTTCTCGTTATATATTCAAGAACAACACTCGCTTCCTCCTCCTGACCCTCCCGCAATTGACCAACGTCGCAATGTTCTCCTCACGAACCATCATTTTCTTCATCGCCTTCCTCGTCGCCCTCGCCAGCTCTGCCCCCGTCCGCGTTCGACGCTGCCCAGCCCCAGCGGCTGCTTCAGGAACACCCGTGGTGTCTTCCCCGCCCCTCAACGTCGTTAAGGGTTCTTCAGTGTCCTCAGACCCCGTTTCGACCGCCACGACCTCCTCAGCGCCCGTTTCCAGTTCTGGGCCCACTTCCTCCGCCGCCCCATCTTCGACCAAGTCTGCAGCACCCTCAACGCCCACCTCCGGTGGCATTATTGGCGGCCTGCTTGGCGCACTCTTCCCCGTTTCAAGTTTCAGCAAGTCTTGGACCACATCCCCCTCATCCAACGCCCTGGCCCTTTCGGATGCCACGTTCAGGCCCACGAACGTCCTCCGCAGCGTCCCGCACACCTATGTCAACGCGCCTGACGGCAAGAGGGCCATGAAGGCACACTACCCCAAGGGATCGTACACGTTCGGCAACAGCCCACAAGGAGGATTCTCCTTCTACGCTCCTGGACCCGCCAACGTCGACCTGTCCTCCGCAAAGGAAGCTACCTTCGGCTATTCCGTGTTCTTCCCCAAAGGATTCGGTTTCCAGCTTGGTGGCAAGCTGCCTGGCCTCTGTAAGCCTATCTAACTTGTGCATGTTTTCATCAATCTCACCATCTTGTTAATTTCACCTTGTTAGATGGAGGCAACAGTGATGCCGAGGCTGTTGGATGCTCTGGAGGCCGTCGCTCCTCTGCATGCTTCTCCGTCCGCCTGATGTGGCGTGCCAACGGTCAGGGCGAGTTCTACACCTACCTGCCCCCTTACACCGACTCTCGCTTCGCTGCCAACGAGAAGCTGTGCAACGTCGCCCCTTCGTCCGATTGCAACCCCACCTACGGTGCCTCTGTTGGCCGTGGCTCGTTCAGCTTCCCCACCGGCCAATGGGCTACGATCAGCGAGCGTGTCCGCCTCAACGACGTCGGTAAGGCCAACGGCGAGGTCCAACTCTTCGTCAACGGCAAGAGTGTCATCAACGTCAGCGGCCTCATCCTCCGCGACAGCGCTGCGGGCCGCATCCGTGGAATGCAGATGCAGACTTTCTTCGGTGGTACGTCAACGCTCAGCGTTCCTGTCGATCCGTGCCAAAATAACTTTTGATCTGACCCTTCTGTTTCTTTTTCTTTGACTATTAGGTTCTAAGCCTAATTTTGCTTCGCCCAAGGACCAGGACCTCTACTTCTCCGATTTCTCCGTCGCCATCACCCAGACCCTTTAATTGAAGAGACGCAACCCCCAGAGACACAACCCACCCACCCACCCACTTCAACACACGATCCGACCATCATAGAGTCATAAAGACCTTCTTTGATATACTTCGAGCAGGTATTATGTCCTCGCTCGCCAACACCCGCGCACCATGCGCAACACATTCATTACTGCGTACAAGCCCTCACGGAGCCAACGCACTGTCTATAGGACCCCACCTCGGACTGCTATTTGGCTTTCCCTACGTACATACGCCCAGCTGCGTTGCTTTCCTTGCTATTTATTGTTCCCCATACGGCGTGCGCGAGGTGGTCGGGCCAGCCCCGACCGTCCCTGCCTCGCTCACGTCTTGAAACGCTCGATATGATCATGAAGAATGATGTCGCCGGCATGCTTTATCTATACTTATCTTATTAGGTACACCGTACATGACTGGATCCAGGACTGGATTCGTAATTTGGGCAGATCTTGAAGGCTGCTCGGGTTTCTTCTGGATGTAGTTGTGCAGGCTCGCTCGCTATGATACAGGCTATCTATCATATACATAGTTTAGAATAAATCTTTGCTTTGCTCTCCTTTGCTTTGCCCGTCCTCAGTCCTCCAACTCAGCGTTCAATGTTCGGTATGCTCTTGAGTCTTGGTAGCCCAGACTCGTACCTGACTCATGTTATCTTATCTAATTTCCGTGGCGGATCACTCAACCGCAACTCGGCCGCCACGAACATGTAGCAACCGAAGTCACCGAACGCCGTCTCCCATGTCCCACCACCATTGCTGCCACCACGGCCATGACCACCACCACGACCAGCATAAGGACTATGCCGCGGCCAACAAGGAGCATTTCACAGCGCAGCTCTCCGATTTTGACAACCCCAAATACACCGAACTCGCCAGACGGTCCGTTTCTTGTATGACCCCTAACCTATTTCACCTGGTTTGATGCGTTTCTTCGACTTAGCGCTGCTGCAGCTATGCGGAAGCAGTACGCTTTCGACGAGGAGTCGACGGTGCTCATGGACTTTGCATGTGGCGCAGGTAGGCCGCACCTAGAAGTCATGCATGCATTCCCATGTTGAACAGTTGGTCAAAATAGGACACATTTCGAGGCAGTTAGCGCCTCATACGAAATCAATAGTTGGTGTGGACATCACCCAAGCCGCTGTCGACCTGTACAACCAACGTGTATCAAACCAGGGCATTCCACCAGAAGAAATGCGTGCGGTTTGTGTCGAGCTCAAGGGAGAGGATGGAGAACTCGACGGTCTGAAGTTTGATGTCATCATCGTAAGCCAAGACCTGCTTGCCTAAACCCACGCTCTCGTCTGACAAACCACTCGTTTCAGTGTTCCATGTCATACCATCATTTCGAGTCAGTGGAAGACATAACGAGGACCCTCTCGTTCTTCCTGAAACCCGGTGCCGCTTTGCTTGTTTTGGATATCCTAAACACGCTAGAAGGTAACCCAGACCCGTCGGGCGCTGGAAAAACCCTGTTCGATGAGAAGTTCCATCACATTGTGGCGCACACCTCCGGATTCAAGGAGGACCAAATTCGATCGATGTACGAAGGCGCTGGGTTGACTTGCGCGATGTTCGACACGATGAAGGCCAGATATCACGGCCAGGATCGAGCGTTCTTTTTGGCGAAAGGGATTAAGGCTGTCTCATGATGTCGCCTTTGACCGTGGACCCCGGCTGATTGGTACAGTAGCATTTCCGTTATCAGATACTCTTGCTGTGATGTTGCGACTCGGAATATAGAGCTTCTGCATCTTCAGCTTTCCCGTGGATGACGGATGTTTCCCAAACTCGAAAGAGTCACGACCCCAACCAAGATTTCCTATGAGGATTACTAATGATTACGCATGACTCAGCGACTGTTGCGGTGCTACCCTGCTGCACTCGCGTTTCTCTGCAGTGACACAAATTTTCTTGAATAGGCGTTCAGACGGGTATATATAGGCGCTCCCCATAACAGACAGCCATTCCAATACCCCAAGAATCAACCTCAGATTGACACTTAGAAGGTGATGTTGTCCGCAGTCTTCCAACCTGATCTCCTACATTAACACACTCTGACCTAGAAGACTACAATGGCACATCACCACCACCACCATGGACACGGACACGAGCACCACGGACAGGGCGTTGACTTCGCTGCTGCCAACAAGGAGTATTTCTCGACCCATGTTTCTGATTTCGATAAGCCATCGGTTACAGAACTCGCTATCAAGTCAGTGTCGACGACTTATATCAGTAGAGTTATGTTCTGACTGAATTCTCCGACTGAATTCTCCTTCTAGAGTCACTAAAGCCATGCGCGAGCACTATCCGTTTGACAAGAACTCTACCACAGTGATGGATTTCGCGTGTGGTGCAGGTCAGTTCTCGAAATCAATTAAGCGCTCATCCCAGCGATACTAATACCACCGAACGTAGGCCATATCTCAAGGGAGTTGGGTCCCTACTCGAAGTCCATCGTCGGAGTGGACATAACCCAAGGTTTAGTCGACGCGTACAACAAACGTGCGACCGAGAAAGGAATCCCTCCAGAAGAGATGCATGCCGTCTGCGTCGAGCTCAAAGGAGAAGAAGGCGAACTCGACGGCCGCAAATTTGATGTCATCACTGTAAGTCGAGAACCATGGGGTTTCATTCGTATGATCTCATTCGTCCCTGGCAGTGCTCCATGTCCTACCATCATTTTGGTTCCGTCGAAGCCATTACGAAGATGCTGGCCTTCTTCCTGAAGCCAGGTGGTGCACTCCTGATTGTCGACATCTTGAACAAACCTGAGAATGCTGCAGAGGTCCCCAAGATCCCGGAGAAGTATCGCCATGTCATTGCCCATACCTCTGGATTCAAGGAAGAGAAATTCCGCGCTGTCATGCAAGGCGCAGGATTAATCACTGCCGTGTTTATCCCCGAGGCAATGGACTTCACTTTCTTATTCAACGAAGAAGAGGAAGGCGAGGGGAGCGTGACTGGAAAATTGTTTTTCACGAAGGCGGTCAAGCCATCGGCCTGAAAGCGTGCAAGTCTTTTAAATACAGTACTAGTTATGTTGTGTACAGTATTTTGTAATCAGATTGTATGGGCACGAGCGAATTGAAACCGTCATTGCTGACTTACTCGTGAACGTTTGAACTATAACCCAATGCCCACTTCAAGCGGTTGAACACGTGGGGCACAGTTCTCCTGATTTAGGAATCCACCTGCCAAAGACGGTCACCCCTCAGAGGCCTCAAGTTGCCTCAAGTCGCGGGGTCGGTTGCTCGCGTGACCGTTCCCCAAAGAAGTGATTTGGATCAGATATAAGCCCCATCTCTCCGGGAACGCGTCTTTCCCCCGCACGCCCGCCATCTCTGGGCCTGGGTCTTTCTTTTCCCTACAACCCCAGGCGACCATTTGTTACCACCGTGACATAGTCTGTCAGTGGGTCCCGGGGTTATTCTGGTTACCTACTCTTCTCTAATCATCCTTCTGCGCTGATCCTTGAGTCGGGCACCTTGTCGCTGTGGTCGAAGTTCTGCTAGTGAGTTCTCTTTCCTCACCAATCTTCTCTCGCTCGACTTTCCCTGACCTCGGCGAGATGAACAAGAGCATCTGCTTCGTTTCAAGTTGATTGGGTAAATTCCCGGAGCTATTTAGTGTACCTGGAAGGGGTTCGGGCGAACTGGGCGGCACTTGAGCTTGCGGTCGGTCCTCGAGTCCTCAGCGTGACGGGTCAGGTACAAAAAACCTGCACATAGGTGCGGGTCTTTTTATGCTCTCTTTGCATATCTGCCTTTCAAATTATGCCATAACTACAATGTCCTAACTAGTAAATCAATGATTAAAGCAATAATTTATTTTCAGGCGACCTCCACTCGTGAGACGGTGAAGGTGAATGCGCCACGGATGCACATACCACAGGAGTGCATGCTATCTCATGTCTAAAGTTTATATAAATAATCTTCAAAAGCAAAACCAAGGCGTTTCGTTCATCGCCTGTCGGCGATTGACCGGGTTGGTCCATTTGTCACTGTCAGTTCCGAGATCGCTCAGAGTCATGTTTCTCTTCATCTTTTTACTAATCGGCGAAACCCGTACATCATGATCACGGAAATTCAGTAAGAAATTCAGATATATAAGTATCGATATCCCTCTCGACCGATACTTGATTCCCCAGACCCAGCATCCACCACCCACTGCCTCTCACTTCCTTGCGAATTCTTCCTTGCGGGTTCTTCCTAGGTCCCTCTTGTAGCCCCTGATCTGCGAATTTGACTGATCTCGTCAAATTCAGTTATCTTATCTCCTTCCCGTCGAAGTGAAATTTCAATGGCGCACCACCACGACCACCACCATGGACATGGGCACCATCATCCCGACGACTCTGCTGCAGACTTCGCTGAGGCAAACAAGGAGCATTTCACCAGCCAGGTCGCGGATTTCGACAAGCCTATGTACACGGAGCTCGCTCAAAAGCAAGTGAACACGATTGGTCAACTACTATTAGATTCTTGCCTCTGATCGAGATTCCCCTGCAGGGCGACAACTCTCATGCGCGAGCACTACGCATTCGACAAGAATGCGACTACGTTGATGGACTTTGCGTGTGGCGCAGGTCAGCACTCCCCACCATGACATGCACGCGGACTGATCTCAACATTCTACGATACAGGCCACATCTCGAGGGGATTGAATCCTTACGCAAAATACATCGTGGGGGTGGATATCACGCAAGCCGCGATCGACATGTACAACGAACGCGCCGCAGAAAAGGGGGTCCCGCCAGAGGAAATGCGGGGCGTGTGCGCCGATCTCAAAGGGGACGAGAGTGAACTCGATGGACTCAAATTCGACGTCATAGCCGTGCGTTGTATCTTTCGAAATTCTCTTCGTAGATTCTGATGGACACTACGATATAGTGTTCCATGTCTTACCACCACTTCGGGTCCATCGAGGACATCACAAAAATGCTCGCGTTCTTCCTGAAGCCAGGCGGCGCGCTCCTCGTCGTGGACATCTTGCACATTCCCGGAAGCGACGGCGAGAACAAGTCCATGGTCCCAGAGAAATATCACCACGTCGTTGCGCATACCTCCGGATTCAAGGAGAGGATCCGGGCTGTGTTTGAGGGCGCTGGGTTGACCATGACCAAGTTCGTTTCGGATGCAGTGGTCGACTTCGAGCTCACGCATTCGGGGGTCGTCACTTTGTTCTTCACGAAGGCGGTCAAACCATCTTCCTGAGGGTTGTGTTCGAACGCAGGACACAAATCAACTTTCTTGTACATTACATACCTGTTTCAACACAGGGCCTCCACAACACAGACGAATGCTCCAACGGAAGGCGTCAGGCAGGAAGATGTCAAATCAGTGCGATTCACGAATCCTACACTGGCATTTTCGTACAATAAATACACCTTCTCTACTCGTCTACTCCGCCTTGCCTGCTTTGCCAGGTCGTTTTGACGACTCGCGGACCTCGCCTGCGAGCCAGATGGCGGAGAACAGGAAGAAACCCACGCTCGTGCTAATCGCACCAGCGTAGTACGGCCAAGCTGCTGAGAGGAAACGCGGGTAGCCGTCGTGTCTTGGTGGGACCACAGGGACAGTTGTTGAGCTGTGAAGGTAGGACCATCTGCAGAAAAGAAATAGTAAGTTGATGGACGTCGCGTGCCAATAGAGTCGGAACGTACCCAGTGCGCTTGTAGTCGACGACAAACTTGAAAACGCCGTGTCTATCTGGAGCACGGAACGTGACCGAGTATTTCCCTGGCGCGCCAGGCACAGGAGGAAGGGCAGTCCGGATGTGGGGGTCCAGCATCGTGAATTCTAGCTGGAGGTCCTTCAGGCCGGAGTATGGTTCCCAGGTATCCTTGATGGGGTTGAACTTGGAGATATAAATATTGTAGACCTGGGCTACAAGGTTAGGATGTCCGGAGGGATGAGAGGAACGACGCTGGACTTACGAGTTGGTCGTTGGTCGTGTACTGCTCGAGCGGCTCGGTGGCGTTCACGCGGTGGTGCTCGACCTTCTCGATGCGGAGCACGTTGGACTCCTGGAATGTCCAGGCAGCGATGTCGCGTCCGAATTGAGAGTTGCCAGACTTCACACCACTATAAACACGTTCAGCCATGAAAGCCAACCAGCCAAGAAAAGTAGGACGTACTTAGAGATCACTTTCAGAGCCAATTCATCACTCAGGATATCCACTCCTCCCAACCACGTAACCCTGGAGCCATCCGTCGTCTGGAACCCCGTCACAACGCTCATCCGGCTGCCCGCCCACAGGCCCTCCCCACCCTTTTGCGACGCCTCAACAAGAGCATCCGCCGATCCTCCATCAATCTCAGATGCAAAACCCTCCGCCGGGGCATGTAAAATTGGGACCAAAAGTGGACTACTGCCCAGCGCCTGAGGGATGCCAGAGAACCAAACAGGCGCGAGGTCCTTGCTCAGGATGTTCGTAGCGTCACGCTTGGTGGGCTTGATGGGTACAAGCGAGCTTGGTTCGTCGCGCTTGGGGAAGTAGGAGATGAGAGGTGTCCCTGGGGGTGGGAGGATGAGTGAGAACTCGGGCGCCAGGGAGGCAAGGGGTGTTTGTTTTGTGGATAGCCCGAGGAGGAGGTTGGTGCCGAGGTTGGCGAGGGTAATGAGGGATTGTGGGGTTATGTCCTTCGCGAAATCTGTCGAATTTAGTTAGTTCTCTGGTTAAATGAAGTTCGGACGAAGAAAACGGTATGGTTCCACTGTTACAACCTCTTTCCGATGAAAATATATAGGCAACGTCACTTACTTTTCGTTTCCGACGCAAGGATAATGACGTGTGCGAACGACGGCTCGTCATACTCAATAACCGCCGGTTTCTCATCCATGGGCGCACGGAACGTTAGTTGATATCCTTTATCTACCGTCTCAACAGTATCAATTGCTTGTTCCAGAACCTCAAATACTAAACCACGCACCTTTCAACCCATCGAAGAATATTGAAAAGTCATCTTGGCGTTTCGGCTCGACGACAACCAGAACCTTGTTTCCTGTCCACGATTTGGTGTTGACAAGGCTGGCCAGCCCCACAGCTAGAAGAAGGGACTTCCTGAGCCCGAACATGGTCTCTGCTGAGAACGAGGGAGTGACGAAGAGTATGAGTTGTGATTTCAATAGGTTCCACGTCGCGTGTCACGACGCGCAGTGCTTGGTCGTGCTTGACAAAGGCTTTGCGGAAAATCCCGTGCGGCAGACGGCCGGCAGAAGACTACCCCAGGTCTTCAAGGCATTGGTTCCAGCTATTGGGATTTGGCTGCTGGTCAGGCGGAGCAAAATCAGGAGCATTTGGCATGCCTGAGAGTGGTCTTGAGGCAAGATTCATATTTTGCTTATCCTGAGCGTCTTCGAAGACGAAGCACTGTCTTGTCCAAAAATTTAGGCCACATGCTCTATTTTTTGAAAACTTACTGACTTTTCCACTGTGGTATTGCCTGGGCAGCTAAAGAACGTTGTAGGCGCCTTCGGACAATTTCGGCTGTGGAGAAGGGGAGACGGGTCGGCATTCCGCTCAAACTCCGACCGGATGCATGCCGGTGCTCCCTTATTTTGACACGGTCCTACGCCGTGCCCAACCCCAGGGTTCGACTTTCGCGTCACCGAGCGCCACGCTTTTTCTCGCTTCTTTCCCGGTCTCTCCCTTCCTTGACTTCCTCCTCACTCCGGTCGACCGACAATTACAATGGGCGCCTCAGAAGAACTGGAATACCTCAAGTCTCTCGTCAGCCAACTGAACGAGAAGATTGCGTCGCTCGAGACCAAGTCAAAGGCTCCTGCAGCCAAATCTCCTGCTCAGCAGCTGCGGACGATCCTCGTTGGTCCCCCTGGTGCTGGTACGCTATAGTTTACCTTTGTCGCCATTTTTGAACACGGACGGTTCGCTGACGTGTATTGGTGGTTTGTCCTTATAGGCAAAGGTACGCAAGCCCCGCGGATACGTGACCAGTTCTGCGTATGCCACCTGGCGACGGGCGACATGCTGCGCGAGCAAGTGCAGAAGAAGACACCTCTGGGTGTTGAGGCAAAGAAGATCATGGATACAGGAGGGCTCGTCTCGGACGACATCATGGTTGGCATGATCAAGGACCAGCTGGAAAATAACAAGGACTGCAAGAACGGGTGAGTGAGGCACCGCTGGGCGAGAACGAGTGCTCGGGGGTGGAAGTCTGGAAGAGGTTTTGACGCGACACGAAAACATACCGTTTCTGTCACCTCCGCTTTTGGACGACCAATAAACCTGCGACCGTACCTCTGTTCGTGGAGTGTTTTGGACGAGAAACTGACGCGTCTTACCTCTTAACTTCTAACAGCTTCGTCCTCGACGGTTTCCCTCGCACCGTCCCTCAAGCCCAGAAGCTCGACGGCATGCTAGAAGCACGTCGCGAGAAGCTCGACTCTGTCGTCCAGCTCCTCATTGACGACCAACTCCTCATCTCTCGCATCACCGGTCGCCTGATCCACGCACCCAGCGGACGCACCTACCATCGCGAGTTCAAGTAGGTTTTCCTCTATCATATCTCGCTTGGGTATCGTCCCTGACCTTCGTATCTCAGCCCACCCAAAAAGACAGGACTTGACGATGTCACCGGCGAGAAGCTGATTCAACGTTCTGATGATAACGTCGAGGCCCTCACGAAGCGCCTCAAGACTTACCACTCGCAAACCGCCCCCGTTGTTGATTACTACAAGGCCAAGGGCCTCTGGCACGGTGTTGACGCGGCTCAATCGCCCAGCGTGGTTTGGGACAGCATGCGTTCGATATTTGTTGGCAAGAAGTGATTTTGATGAGACGTACCATGGACGACAGAGCATGGAGATTTATGATTGGGACTTTCGCGCACGTAGCATTTGTTTATTATCTTGTCATAGAAGCTACGTAGTGGTTGATTGTAACGAAAGACATTCGATTGATCTCACCAACAGGCACTATCAATAATAAAAATCTTCGAAAAGCGACCGAAAATCGGGCAAGCTAAGTATGTCTATTCGATTCAATTTTTCAAAATTTCAACCTGCAAGGTTGTCACGCCAAGCAGTGTGGCGCAGTGACATTGTTGTGACCCCGACTCTGCTCTCGATCCCTTCGTCGTAATTTGAACAGACCTTGAAAAGAGGCATTTGTTCCAAAATTCCAGATAATTTGTAGGTAATCTTCACCATCTGCACTCGTTCTGAAAGTAATTAGGGCACTCGCGCTTCGTCCACTCTGGAATTTTGAGGTCTGCGGTCTCCGAGTTCTAGCCCCATGCGACCGGCATATAATTAGTAGGCGTACTATAGTAGCGATGCTGGCCTGTTCCGTACAATTATTAGACTGCGGGGGTGACGTCGATGTTGATTGACGACACGGAAGGCACCAGGGGATCTCGGATGCGGGGATGAAGGTTGAAACCGTTCCTACAGTATCTCGGAGTCCAACGGAGTCAAAAATAGTCGGGTTGGTATTTCAATAAATAGAAATGACGTCGACCCAGCCTGTCGGGTGTCCTCGAATCTTGCTTTTCTGAAAGAATCGGGATCGGATTTTTCGGAAGGACGTCATCGTTCGCTCTGCGCAGCAGGACGATGTGTGCTTTCCGGCCGTATTGATGCGTTCTTGCCAGCGTAGATGTCATTTTACGGTGCTGTATCTCGGTAAGTAGATCTTGCACGACCCAGTCATTTTCGTCCCAAGTGCATCCGATAGGACGTCCGACTTTGTAAAATATTCCACTTTTATTTTGGACGAGGTTTGGCTCGAACCTGGGCCAATTCGCGGTGTTCTGGGTCGGAAATGTTGCTGAACCCAGGCTGAGAATATCTTGAATCGTCTATAATTCGCGCAAATCTTTAGCGGTCAATGTTTTATTAACATTGTCCAACTCTAGATCTGCATCCCCCATTTTGGTTGGTCAACCTTTTGGCATAAGGGCCTAGCTGATTTCTTCCAGTTTTATCTGAGCAAGAACTGTTCGCTTGTTTCACTGTGTCCTACTAGGGCCAGCACCCAGACCGCCATCTCCGCGGCCCTTTCTTGACGAACGTCATGAGAAGGCGATCAGGACTTTCTTCGGAGCGGCTCGCGCGGTTTGGTTCCGTTGCAATACGCCAATCACTCAGCTCGGAATGCGGCTGGCGATATCGGCTGAAAAGGGTCCTGTCGTGATCCCAAAACTGCTCTGCAGCCCTTGAACCGGCGTAGCTTTCCCCGGCACATGAGCCATATCTGGCAGGACTGAGTTTTGGACGCCGATCTTCCACAGCATCGAGGTGGGGAAGCTCTTTCAAAAAATGTTTGCATCGACCACCACCACTAAACATAGCAGTGTGTTTTCTCATCGGCCTTTATTTTTTTGTCCGAACTCGTCGCTTCATCTCTTTAGGACTGGGGTTTAACCCGGAGGACGTTATCACTCCCCTTATACTCTTCCTACGACAAGGTTCACGACCCCATTGACACTCTACGATAAATGGGTCGATGATGGATGATTTATTATTGAAACCATCACAGCAAACCAACGTCGGTAGCAGAAACAGGGCGATTTTCATCGACATTGGAGAATTAGTGAGATCAAAACATCATGATGACCTTCCTACTTAGTCATCCGAACGCAATAAGGAAACGCAAATCCACGCACTCGAACTTGAAACACTCATGCCTTCCGAGTCGCAGTCAGCCTGACCAATAGCGTCAACTTCCCTTGCCGCTCCGGTTCTAGCATTTGCGGGAAAGTTCAGGCACGCCCTCGTGGGTTCGCCCAAATCTTGCGGTCCGTGACATATTGCGCTTTCGTCGGCTGTTATAAGCAACCCAGCGATCCTAATCTCGTTTGCACTTCCCTTTTATCAGGCCGCCTCCAGGCCCCTTGATACGTTTGTTCGTCTCCTCATAAGAACTCCACAAATTCTCCTCCAACATCCCCCCAACACCGCCCATGCCCCGAAAATCCGACGCCTCCGGGATATTGCGACGCGGCTCAGCCTGTCTGTCGTGTCGGTGAGTGTGCGCTTCGTACTCGTAGTAGAGAATGCTGACCGATCATGTTCCCCATATGTTCTTCTGACGCGTTGTCGTCCTGTCTCTTCCAGGAGAAGGAAATTGGTGAGCGTTGATTAATGATTGCTGGTGTGCACTAGGCAAAGCTCATTGACGCGTCATGAATACAGAGGTGCGATGGCCTTCGCCCCGTATGCACACAGTGTACCACCATGAAACGAGCCCATGAATGCAACTACGACGACAGCGCGCGCAAGAGTCGCACCCAAACGCTACGCGAAAAGCTCTTTGCTCTTGAGGCCAAAGTGCGGGAGCTCGAGTACCAGCCTGGTTGTTCGTCAATCCCTTCGTCTTCCTCAAGTTCTGTCAGCGACTCCACCCCATCGCCCCTACTGAAAGGCTACGATGATCTCTCTTCCCAGTTCATGTTGGATCCCTCCATTTTCCCGACCGACCTAACAGCCTGGGACCCCAACGTTTTTGACTCCATGTTTACGACCTCGATACCATCCTCTTTCCCTGATGATCAGAGATTCGACTCTCCCCCATTCAATTTCTCAGTGCACTCGTCTCCTTCTGGATCCGATGGGTCTATCTCGCTCCCGTTAGGCGGCGCGGTCTCCTCGCCCTCGGGCAGGGATGCACTTCCTCCGAGCGCCAATCCCATTTACTTCATGGACCAGACCTTGTATGACGGCTTGCCGGACCGCCTATTTGTCGATCCAGAAATAGCTCTGACTCCAGAAGTCCAGCATGTTCTGTGAGTCTGAACCTCGCTATTTTCTGTTCTAATCTATCGCATCTATCGTCCTGAAACTCATGGTTCCCTCAGTATCCGCTCCTTCGTCGACCATCGCAAGCAGTACTGCTTCTACTCCAACTCAGAGCGGTTCGACCCTTCGCGGACCGCGACGACGACTGGGGCGATCTACCAACACCAGGTCCCCGCCAATCCCTCTTTAATTAACGCCATTCACCTTCTGGGATGCTTCTTCACACGGGCGCCACTTCCCCAGGGACTGGAGCAGCACCTACTGGAACAGACCTTGCGTGAAGTGTCACGCTCCCTGCACAACCAAGAGCAGCTGATCGACGTCGTACAAGCTCTGACTTTGCTCGCCCAATACTTCTTCTTCAACAACAGAGGCATGGAGGCGAACCGGCACCTGTCCGCCGCTAAACGTATAGCGCTCGATCTGAGGTTGCATCAGGTGTCGCATCCTGACCTGGCGACGTTCCCGTTCGACCTGGACTATCCCTTTGATTCGCCCATGCAAGACTGGAAGGAGAAGGCTGCTGTTTTCTGGCAGTTATTCATGGTCGAAAGGTTCTGGGCTACGACAAACGACTGCACCGCCGGTCAGCCAGAGTTGGACTCGCCGTGTCGCAACATCGCGACGCCACTCCCAGTGCTCGATGGGGCTCAAATGGTAGGTGTTTAATATTTCATTTCTAACCGTTGATCGCGTATGGCTGATGCACCACCTTCTCCTTCCCTTTCTTTCCCTTGGGCCCCTTGGTGATCTGTTGATCTACCTGTCTATCTTTGCAGGACACGACACTCAGGAATAGCACCATCCGTGCATTTTTCGACACCGACGATGATAGTTTCCATGCGTCCTCACTGTCCGTAACCGCTTTCAAGATCATGGCTTCCTCTCTTTTTGACCGCTCGATTCGCGTTAACAGTACGTGGCCCGCCTGCCCGATTATCCCCGTTCCCGCACTCAGCTAACAAGCGCCTCCCACTCCTTTTAAACAATTAGACACAACGCTGCGCGACAACGCGACATGGGCGTACCACAGATCTGCAGAGGTGGCCCTGACGAGGCTGCTAAGGCTTGTGCCCCCGTTTCTGCGCAAGGATGCGCACTACCCGTCGGCGCCGTACTTCGACACGGACCTGTTCACGGTGCACGCCCTCATCTTCGCGTCGACGATCCACCTCCATCTCGACAATGCGATGAACCTCAAAGCCTCGCTCGCGGCCAAGAAGCTCGTCGAGCTTGTCAATATTCTCGTTGAAGACGACTACCACTACCTTGATCCTTCACTAGCGGTGCGTCCCTTTCTTCACCAAGTTTTTCCGTGGTTCTGATAGAGAGTCGTCGTTTAGATTTGCCTGGTCTCGATCATCAAACTGTTTCGACGAATGATCGAGAGCACGGCACAAGCGCAGACGAATGGCGTTGGCGGATCAAGTGCGCCGTACGCATTAGCTTTCTTGAAACGCTGTGTGGAGATTCTCACTTCGGCCGTGCAAAATATGAGTGGGAGTACCCCATTTGCAGGTTCGTTTGTTCGTTTATCTCGTCTTCCTCTCACACTTTCCTCGTTAGACGACCTCTTCGCATCTCTCGGCGAAGTACCCGCGCCACACCACTCGAACATCAGCCCCATCAAGCAACAGCCCCCATCTTCGAGCTCGTACATCTACCCAGAGAGCATCATCTTAACAACTCCTTACGGAGTAGTCGACGGCTACTCATAACCCCCGGCGTTTCCGTAACTCCCACATGTATGTTAACGTGATAACGTCCCCAACGCCAGACTTTCGGGGGTCGGGAAGCCAGATGGTCATGCCATCCAGGTTCTGCCCCACGTTCGCAGGATGGGCTTCCCCGTTTGTTCCTTTTTTGCGGACAAAATGTGTACGATTATGCAGTTACATATTCATGCCATCTCCCTCATAGGCTCTGCCAGCTATGCATGGACTCACGGACTTCACCATTTCCTCCTGCCTCCATCAATTAGTGTATAAGTACTCGCATACCTTACCTTATTTTCGGCGCCGGCGTGTGTACATTTAAATAACCTTAGAGTTCATGAACACTGGAATAGGAAGGAATAACATTCGTACGTGGCCCCTAGTAGACTTCAAGGTCCGTGGTACTCATTCAGAACCTCGGAAAAATACCTCGAGTTCGTAGGTAGGTAGCCGTAATGAAATCAAAGCATGAACTTTATTTGGAAACGGACGCCTGAAAAGAGCTCAGGTCCATGGGTCATAGAAGCCGCAAGGGAGGGAAAAGCACCTATATTTGGTTCGATAGATGCTTCTTCGACGCCTGCCCAGCTTGGAATGCCAAAGTGCTTTACGGATTTCTGGCACGCTACAATGTGCATGCGTGTTTCGACTCTGGGGAAGAGTTCCAATGACTTCTATCATGCAGTTGTGCCATGGCACCTCCGGGTAGAGGAAATGTCCTGTGGGGAGATAGCAGACTGTCTCGGAGATAACTTATCTCTGTTTCAAGATCAAACATATACTTTTTGGTGCCCTTTGAAGCTTATCGTCGCTATTTCAAGGCAAGAGTACATGGTATCTTGTGGGTTGATTTCAAGTTACTGAGTACGTGATTTCTGTCGGCTTAGTGGTTCAAATGCTCAGGTTGAACTGAGAGAATTGATGATGGCTTTCGACCACGTGTGCCAATAAGTTTTCGCTACCCAATCCTCTCATTGCCAATGACATCGGACCCCAAGCCAACGAACGATTGCTTGGAGTGAATGGGGAGCTCTTCGCCTTTATCCCCGCGCGTCTGCATTTTTTGCGCTGAGCGGCCCTTTACTCCGATTGTTAGCCTTCTGGCAGATTAGAAGAGCTTTATCCCTGTCTGCCATAGTTTGTATTGCACGGGATATGTTCGAAAAGGTGGCATGATCAGGCTACTCCACAATCCTCGAGTGCAAACGTAAAGGGCGCAAGGAAATCAGGAAAACTTGCCCGAAAGAACTCGGAGTTTGAGGCCTTGGGGGTCAGCACATGTCCTCTGCTTACTATGATTTCCTCGGGAAGCTGATTCAATTCCGCGGAGGTCGTACGAAATTCTTCTCATGTACTCCTAGGAGGCCGAAGGTATGACCCTAGACAAATGTCCCGTTATCCACAATTAGCATACCCGCCTGTCGATCGTCCCGATCAGGAACTGATCACCGCCGGGAGCGGGAGCAGGGGAGGATTCAATATCGAAGTCGAAGTCGACGGCGCCTAGGTTACAATTTGGAATTGGGGAAATGAAATAACGGGATCGGGGGATGCGCCACAATTTGGAATTGATAAGAATTGTGGGTGCATTCGGTTGCGGATCTGCGGGCAAGTGCCAAGCGCTTGAGATAGGCGCCCGTAATGAGTTGCCGTTTGGAGTGGCCCATTCGTAATCTCGTTTACGATGGACTCACGTGAAGACAACGGAGAACGTTTTATCACAGCACCTGAGGGTGCCAATGAGACCCAGATAGCGGTTAACGTACATTCGCGTGAGTCTTCGCTCTGTTTTGGATAATGTTATAGGGTTTTATATATGTAGATCAGCCGCCCATAATATTGTACATGGTCTTCCGCAAGTTTTCCATTCAAAGCTTGAGCTAAAAATTTCACCTGTGACCGGCTTGCTTGTGGTGTCATGCACGACCCAATCGCACTTGAGCCGGTCTTAAGTTCGCACACAACTCAACAATCGGAAGTCCTCGGAACCACGCCCTTCCTTCGTCTCCGACTCCGACCTCATTTTGAAACACGAAACGGCCATTGAGCATGCAAGGTCTTGAAACTCAGGGCACAGGTTTGAAACGACCAGCGTTAAGGAGTAAAGAGACCCGCTCGTGTTGATGACTTTCGAACTCGGGACTTTCTTGATGCTGAAAATCCTTGGGGCTCTCGACGTCAAATGCCAGTTGATATTCAAGTTTTAGCAGATAGCTCAGATCCTCAGCCTCGGGATAATCGTTCGCCTGAATGCAATGTGGCCATTAGTTTGCTTGGCTGTTTGTTACTTCCGGTCGATGAACAAGGTGATGTCAGCACATCCTCATGCCATTCTATTTATGCTCCAGCATCAAGACGACCCGCTGTTCAAAATGCAGTGTAACTTGCAACTGTCTCGAAGATGACGGAAGGTGAAGCAGGGAAGAAGGCGAGGAATAGAGGACAGGAGATTCGAGAGAAAGGAAGATTAGATTTAATGCACATGAAAAAAGGAATGAAGGTGGATGGATGAAAGCGTAGAGTATAGGAGGAGAGAACGTGCCCTCCAGGCCCCACCGCCTAACATTCCTGCCGCCTAACCCGGTCAAAAAAGGCCTCTATCTTGCGTCCTTCTCGGTCGATGCTATTGTAACCTCCATCACACCCAATGAGCCTTCGCGGTACAAGGGTGAACGGAAACTAGAGGGAAACGAGACGTTAGAAATTTGACGACAGGTGGTTGATTCATTGATAAGGGGGGAAAGAAAGCGATGAAGGTTCAGCATAGCGAAGGAAGGAATCTCGGAGCTGTAGATGACGAGGATGGCTAGGAGAGATAATGGTGACGATGAATCCAGCGATGAAACCAAGCAGTGTACATTGGTAGATAGCATATACGATGCCAAAGAAGAATGTGTCATGAATGATGTAGGCTAGTAAGGTAATTCTTCCAACATGTGCCAATCATGTGCAGGACGAATCGGTTGCAGTGGACCTAAATCTTTTGGCCAACCGATTGTAGAATCCAAGTTTATATTATAAGGGTAGTGGGAGTAACCCTCCTTAGGCTTCGCCCAACCAACAGATTTCTCGTCGATAAGCTTTTGAATACGCGCAGGTACTCCGGAGGCATCCTTGATAGTCATATCATACCGACCGGTCCAGTTGAAGTCGATGAATTTGACCTTGTCTTCAGAATCGAAGAGGATGTTCTGGCTGCGGAGGTCTCCAAACACATATCCTGCAGGATGCAGGAGTTCGAGAACACCCTCTACCTGTTTGCGGGCGTCCGGCGGGGGCTTCGTTGCTGAGTCGATGTAGTCCATGACCACCATCTTCATAGATCCAAACGTCAGACCAGGAGGAGCACTCTCGGTAACAGGCGATCGGAGTAGGGGTTCATATGGATTTGGAAGTGGACCATAGTATCTGAGGCGAGGCGCATGCCCTTTCTCTGCCAGAAAACGATGCACCTCAGCACCGTAAGCTGAAACGAACTTGACGACCACGGGTTCATTAGAGGATGTTATCTTCGCACGAAAAGTGACACAATCGTCGCGTTCTTCCAGGAATTCGAGGTACTGGAACGTAACCTTCCCGGTATCACCTTTGTACGAGCTCGGATTAGGATAGAAGCGGGGGTGGGGTGAGCCCTTGGTGATGGGGGGGATGCGAGGGACGGTCTCACGGTAGTATTCAGTCAAAGTCTTCAGGCATTTGCGCAAGGCAGAGAGGACACGAGCGACCTTGTAAATACGCTCTGCCTCTTCCGAGGATGATTGGGAGAGCCACATCATGTCTGTGAGTCGTTGAACAATGACCTTGTCGGTAAGCACTGAACCCATTACACATAGCCAAGGACCACCGCCTGCCAGGAGGAATGTAGGACAGCAGCATCGATCACGAGTTTCATTTCTCTATGGAGGAAGTAGATAAATCAGATGCAGTATCGAGAATACGAAGAATGGGTTTACTCACTTCGTCAAGGAGCCATGATCGCCTAATTGAAAGAGCCGCCTGGGTACTCGGATCGCAGGATCCTTCGCCCAGCTCTTTCTTGAATTCTCCAAGTAGCACAGGAATGCGTTTGTCCTCGACCATGATTGTGTAAACACCATCCGACCGGGTCGAATCAGCATTGCTTTCATCGTAAATTTCAACCCCCAAAATCCTGCTCAGAACCCCACGAGTGCGGACGTTCCGACTAGTCTCGTTTGTCTCATCAAGTTCCGACAGAAGATTGGATAGCTCCTGGACGTTTCGTATGTCCTCGACGGAAGGTTGATGTCCTTTGTCACTAACGATGCGAAGGAAGTCTCCGAAGACGGGATGGAATATCTCGATAGGTGGGGCTTGGGTCGACCCTCCTTTAGCGTAACGGCCGTCGTGTATCGCCGTGGCCAAGTCTTCTTGAGCTTTCCTATACTCTGACGACTTGGCAGCAGTCGATGGCGGTTTCCCAGGTGTACGAACAAGAGCGCGGTATCCAGCATAAAGAGAGCATCAGACCTGCTAAGGGACGAGCAATCAGATACGCACGTCTAATTTCAGGCAGCTCTGCCACATCTTCGGTCTCCATAGTCGAAGCCTCCTTCAGAGCATTGACGGCCAGATGGACAATGCGCCTGTTCTTGGTTTTGTCTCCTATAGTCTCGGCAAAACTCTCCGATGGATAAATGAACTCAAATTTGGATCCTTCTCCCAACCACTTCTCGAAGTTTCCTCGAGATTCACCTCTCCCTCAACCTAAAAAACGTCACGGAGAGCCAACATCAACCTCAGTTATAACACACTTACTTTGTGGAACTTGATTGATGCTGCTTCTGCATGGAATTTATAGTCGTTGAGAATTTCCTTGGCAAACTTTTTCCTCGCGTTTTTCGATACCCCTTCGAACAAGGAACGCGGGATTTCGACCACGTTGCACGATTCCGAGTCGAGGAGTGGCAAGAATACCCAGTTCACGACGACGAGATCTTGTGAGGGTGGTGGGGATGATTCCGTAGCACTAGGTGTATTCTTCAGGCTTCGACGTTGTGCTCTTTCCTCGCGCGCAAGGGTTTGCTGGGACTTCTTACCACTGAACATAACGGTTCCCGTGAGAACTTCAACTTGGTCCACGCATGTGATGTGTCGGCCATGTTCCATATAAGGAAATCGCACTGCCACCGATGTTATCGGGCGCTGCCTGAAACGGGATTTCTCGACAACGACAGTTGATCTGGCTCCTAAAAGGTCATTCTGCAGCGAAGCGCGCGGTGAGCGTGACCATCCCGATCGGAGTTTTACAGCTAACCTGTCCCGTAGGCCCTGGAACACGACACATACTGTCCGGGACGTCAATGAGAATGGTTTCGGCAGTATGACAAATGAGCAAAGAGTTGTGTATAAAGGGTCGACTTCGTCGACGTGCACCTTGCTTCTCATTTAAAAAATCTAGACAAAGACAGATGTGAATTTACTGTACCATTCACTTGCTGTGTACACAAGAAAAAGTAAACGAGATCAACATTGAAGGAAGAGTAACTATGAATTGGAATCTTTGGTTGCCATTCACCAGGGTAAATTGAAGTTACACACCGCTGCTCGCAAAGCCGCCGCTGATAATCCCCTCGAAGAAAAGTGCAATTCAAACCTCGGAACCTGGATGTCCCATGGTCGGACAAAATCCTATTTGAAAATGCTCTATTTTCGGCTCTCAGCTTCCGGGTACCAGTTGTTGATTTCCTAGGTCAGCCTATCTGCCATATTCCTCGTACCGATTCTCATGCCATGGGGGCAAGAGGACCCGCCATTCACCTGGAATTCTCTCAAATATGACTGGCTCGCTACCTCGCTAAGTCACGGTCCGGTTTGCTGATCATGACGAAAAAGGAAATGTGGCATAGCTCCCGAGGCAAGCTGTGATTGGCTGCCATTTGTGTGGACGTCGGCCTGGCTGTCGACAGTGCGGAGGCGATCACGGCGCACGGTGTCCGTTAGCCCTGGTCTGTAGATAAAAAAAATCCAGAGGGACAAGGCTTAAATATAACGCGAATGCATTTCCCCAAAAATTCTATCGAGTTCGACTCGAATTTGCCAGCCGCAGCTGGTATTCCGGCCTGCGACTGGGCGCTGGGGAGTCCAACGGGGTAGAGCAGGAACTGGGTAAGAAAGAGGACTAAGGTGCGAGAGGTGTATGGGCTGTGCTCTTGTAATGTTAACGGCTCGGGCCTTGGAGCTGCGGAGCATAACATCCTGGAAGGATCATACCTCGTCCACCACCCTCTGGAACCATCCAGCAACAAAGGCGTGACTCGACAGCGAGGTATATAAGGCCCTTCGTCAGCCATGACTGGGTGTACCGTGCGACTGACGACTGGTCTCAGCAGACTTGCATACGACCCTGTGATGGAGTGGCATTGGGCCTTCATCGAGCCGGGAGCCAACATCAACGTCCGTGGGTAGACGGACTGGGACGGCCTGCCCTGCTGGTTGGATTGGAGATTTGTGGTTGGAAGTAAGGCCGCAAAGAGAAGGCGGTAGCAAGGTAAGTACTCACCCCATATTCCAGCCAGTCGCTGCTTATCAACCCCTTCTTTCGCCCTCCTGGAGACGCAGCTGGGCGCCACGGGATGGCCGACGTGGCCTCGTCACCGAGCTTTGAGGTGTTGCATGCGAGTCGTGTATCCGGGCTGGAGTAGAGTCGTTGAGTTGGACATGTCCTTGGATAGTTAACGACGAGTTTTGGAGTACTGAGTCAATGAGTGACTAGTAGGTCTGAGGGTCTGAACCGGGACGCCCGCAAGCGCAGCCAGAATCTCCGCTAATGAGACTGGCATATGATTTTCCGTCTGGCACTCGTCTGGTACTCAAGCTCGAGCGTACAATAAACTACCGCCAATCTTTTGCTTTTCACCGCAAGAAATTATTGGCCACAATAATACTGAGCTCGACACCAACTTGGCGTAGTCGTTCAACGCTAGCCCTGCTCCCCTTCGGTGATTGGTCGACGTCTTATTTCCGCTTTCGACGACCCACCATACAGCCCATTGTCCAGGCCCCGGTATTCAATCGATAATCGAGATCCCCCCCATTCCCTGCTCCCCAAATCCCGGGTTCTGTGTGACCGTCGAACCGTAATCTACCTTCATCGGTATCCCAACAACGTTCTAGCCCTCCTTCGGCCGCAAAAGACTTTGGGAAGTCGCAAAAAGTATCTCACAGACGTCCACATATTTCCAGATCCATCGCGGACGAAGGGATGAGCATATGGGCGCGATAAAGAACACCTCCTTCGAGGCATTGAATTTAAATGTTCACTCTTCTAGTGTTCGTTGTTCGAAGGGACCCTTGATGCCCCCGCTCCTTTTTGGACGCTCAGGTTCTCTTCGATCCTGATTATCGCGGTCTGAACGACCCCAAGCCAATAATTGCCCCGCAATTCACAGTTCTAGCCCCCCACAACACCCACCCCGCCTGTCTAGATCCTGACAAGAGGGTGCCCGCTCCTGGCGCAGGATTCTTTCCTTCCTCGAAGCTCGGAGTCTTTCCCTCATACCTGCTCCTGATAATTCTCTGAGGTGACGATGCATACGATTGGGCGACGGTGGGGTGAACAATCGCTGAGGGGTGTTCACTTTGGTCACTTACGGTGGCGCAGTGCACAGCTTCCAAAAAGAACCGATCCGCGCTTGGCTCTCACAGTCCCATCAACTTTCAAAATTTCAAATTCGATCGCTGTGTGGACGTTACAGTATGGGAGTCGAGTTTAAGGATGACGCGACATCAGCTGGCATGATGGGCTTAGAGATGAGGTGGTCGTGTATTCTGTCTGGTTTCACTTGGTCAAGCTCGGGAGGTCAGCGGGTAGTGGTTGTACAGGGAAGTCTCAGTGATCGCCGTCCCCGGACAAGAGGATTTCATGCAATTGAGTACTGGGGAAGGCGATAAGTGATCACTTCTTCGCGAAGTCGTCGCGAATAGATTATTTAGAAGCTTTCTAATTTCCAGGGTAGAGGCGCAGGATTACTAGTATTGGGATTGTCATGAATCCCTTCTCGACGTGATAGGTAAACCTAACTCTTGCCAAGGACTAGGGAGATAGAGCAATTGATAAGTACTTATATATGTACATACAGAAACGAGAGGTCTTTTCCCAGTCACTATGGTGCTAGCCTGCAATACGGCATCGTCGTTTCGCTAGTATTTACATAATTGAATATAATGAGGAACTTGTGCAATGAATGTTGAACGTTGAAGTTTGATTCAAGAACAGATCAAGGGACTCGAACGGCTCACATATTGGCTGCTATGTTTAACTTTACCATGATATATCAAGTCTATGAGCCTCCTGACGGTGATTGTTTATGATAGCCCCTATCTGTACGTCCCACTCGCGCGTCCGCGATACTCCTGCTCGATACATACCAAGGTTTGCAACCAATCCCCGCTGTCCTCCTTTCCTTATTCTCATTGTTTTAATTACGCCTTATCATCTGAATACACACTCCCATTCGACCTCAAACAAATTACTTCCCTCTCTCCCTCTCTCCCGACTTGATACGTATGCTCACGACCCGTCCGAAGTGGCGCATTTCATTTCTATCAAAATGGGCCGGGATTACCTCCGTGCGGCGGGTGGTCCATCGACATATCCGCACGGTACCGCTTGGGCATAGGTCAGCGTGTCCTGAATTCAAGCGCTGAACATTCTTCAGAAGATTTAAACTCGTACAAGATGATATCAGTGGATGGGACACGTTCGTGCAACGCCGAATCACTTGACCTAAGTACCATAAAACCCTCCTCATTCAAATTGTCGGTGTAATTGCGAGGTCGATCAGCCTTAGTAAATAATAGAGCGTGAAGAGACACGGTGACCGGTGACCCCATGACCATCGATCATCGAAATGATGAGCGTCAAAAGTCCAGAACGGAGCGGCACCGAAGGAGGAGCGGAGGCGCCGATGCCGTAAAGACGATGATGATGTCGCCGAATGCGGGGCAAGATTAGTACTGCGCGCCGCGTAAGGTATCAATGTGTAGGTGCAGTGAGAATGACGATCGGGCTCGAGGCAAGAGGATTACTTGCCTGCACCGTGAGGACTTAGTAAACACTCACCGACGACCGTGCTACACGTTGATGTCCTTGAGGTCTGGAGGACTAGCTGAACGTCCAAGTAAAGTTCAGGCACCACGCGACCGCACCGCGCGGGTAAAGACGAGAAAGGAAACCTCGAAGGTTGTCGCGTTGCGTTGCGTTCGGAGCCGGCACGGCATTCAAATAAAATTTGATGCAGATGGGTTCAGATGTGGGCGTCAATTGCAACGGGTCAGCCGACAGTGGATGGGTAGTGTGTTGGTGGTGTGGGCGCCAGGCGGACATCAGCGCCAGCATTGGAGTACTCATGGATGATGGGATTGGGGAAGGTCACGTACGTACGTTGGTGTGCGTGCGTATCACCGGTCACCGGTGGCGAAGATAAAGACAAAAGACAATGGTAGAGTACTGACTACGCCGCTGGAGGCGTTCAAGAAAATTTCTTTATCTCTCTCTTCTCTCTTCTATACTTAACCCATTATAATCACTAAAAACGATCACGGATTCGTCGATACCTTCCCCCCTCCGAGTCGTCAGCGCGCGCGATGCTACGTTACGAGAACCGGGCGGCACTTACGCCTTGCACACCTTGCACACATGCCGATGTCATTTATAACTAACTGTATGATGAATGTATCAGCACCGCCCCACAATCACCGATATCGCGGTCGTTCAGCAATTAATTCAATATCCTAATTTCTGGCGTTATGGGACCGTGGAATGTGGGGTGGGGAAACAAGGTTAACGTTTAAAATTTAAGCTTCTTTTGTCTTCTTCGACTTCGACTTCGCCTTTCGTTAATTTCATTGGTCACTGCCGTTGCCTGCAGTTGCCTGTAGCAAGAGCGAACACTGGGAGCTGGGAGGTGGGCACTGGGAGTCGGGCGCTGGGGCTGGGCAGCTGCGTACGACTCGGAGCTGGATCCGGAGAGGTGGGTTGGCAGATGGATCCGCCGGGGAAGGCTGTTACGGCCCTCGGTAGCTGTACTTTAGCTCCAATGAATGTATATGGGCGCCAGTTAATGGGTACTTGGTGTTGGGGATTGGGGAGCAGGAGCGCTGAAGATAAGGAGGTATGGAGGGGAGCTGGGACGATAAGTGAAGATAAAGACGAAGACGAAGATAAGCCTCCAGTGGGGTGGAGCCAGCCGCCAGCCGCCAGCCGCCAGAGGCCGCCAGGGTGAGATCAGGCCTGCGGTCTGAGGTCTGGAGCTAAGTAATTCAAAAGGTCAACACTGACTGTACAAGTTGGAGCGGGTCGGGGAGAGATAACGGCAGCCATGCCTACATAACACAATACGCAATGCAATACGCAATTAATATTCACACCGCGAGGGCGCACTGCTCGTTGGCGCGCCAATTGATGAGCCAGTGAGCGCACCTCAAACTTGCTACTCTAGAGAGGAAGAGAACTTGAACTGAAGGAAATTAAAATTAAACAAAACCAGAACGCACCAGAAAGTGCTCGAGGATGCATTCGGCAGTGATAGAATATTTGCTGTTACAAGGCCGAAGGGAATTGAAGGCCCAATTGGGGGCATACATATACATAAACGCATCGATCGAGGCGTGGAGCGGTGGACACTAGTACTAGCAGGTATGACGCGCTACAGAGCTCAGAGAGCAGAGGGGTTACGGCGTTGACACCAATTGGGGAGGAAATTAATCGCGGAGACGTCAAGGCTCGAGGGGTGGTTTATATAATATTAATGACGACGATGGTGAACGTCGAACGGCGAACGTCGAATCCGAAGGTAAAGGGATCCACGGGGTGGAAGTTAAGCTTGAGCTTAAAGCTTAAGACTCTGAGCACTCTGACCATGGCTTGCCATGCGCAGTGCTTTGAGCTCTCGCATAGGCTTCCGGCGCCGGCGACGCCTGTGTGGTATTATTTGACGCACGGACGCACGGCGAACAGCAGTGGTGGCGCTGACGCACGAGGATCCCTGAGAGATAAATCGATTCGGATAACCTGCGAGGCCAATATGTAGTAGATTATGAACGTGGATCACAGCTTGATAAGAACGTGTTCCCTTACCACTGTAGAGGACTGACAAATAGTCGCCGATGGGTGTCGTGACGCTCGTGGCTCAAGTAAGCCTACACATGCGCCATACATACAGAATTAGGCTTCGAGGAAGGGAATCCGAGATGAGATGAGCGCTGAATCGGGATGGGATAGGGAATACGGTCCTGTGGATGATGCAATCCGTGGGCGAATTCGGATCTGTGATGGTTGCGATTGCGAGAGTTTCGGGATGTAAAGTCGGACCCCCGGGGCGAGTTGAGGTGGTATTTTTGTCATACGTGGAAGGGTATGTGGGGAAGCCTGAGGGTAGAATCGAATTGAAATCCCCTAGGAAAACTGCGAGAAATGCATCATGAAATGCACTACCCTTAGTGATCGAGGGTGTCCACCGTCGCACAGGGCGTCCGCCGTCGAAGGCTGGACCACCATGTTCAGTACCCACCTTTCCAGAAGGCCTTAGAGTTCCCAGGCAAGACAAGCAGAACATCATCGATGACCTCAGGATTCGGTGCTGTGTCATCGATGATGGGGTCTCTGTGCGCTGTCTCCGTGCGGCGATAAGTAAAAGCCAGGTGCGAGGACTTTGCTTTGTTCCACCCTAGGTCTTATTCCCCAGGTTTCCCTTTCCCCAGGAGAGACACGCTTTGTGGCGCCTGCGACAGAGGAAGGGCCGAGAGAGGAAGCATCCTCGACTCTTGTGGCTTGGCGGGATCGGGCGTAGAGAATCGATAGGGTTTTGGCCTTTTTTGGGCATCGCCTCTTGTGTGGTTGCCGTCGGATTCTCTCTCCCTGCCCTCGTCTTTGCCGAATTCGATCCTACCTACTTACCACTCACACGTGTGCCTGGGCAGTCACAGCTGCACACAGAGGAGATTGCGGATTGCGATACGAATTGGGCGCTTGAGCTTGGGGGGGCTTGGCCGCTGGCCGCTGGCCGTACCGCGCTCTGGGCCCGTTTGATAAATATTCAAAGCCTCTGTTTCGTGTTCGAGATTGCACGATTGCGACTTCGCACCCCTCTCCTCTCCTCTCCCTACAAAGTCAATTTTATACTCCCGCTAATTCTTGGAAGGCCCCTCTCTTCCGACTTGCACCCTCGATCGACGTCGACGGAGGGAACGTGTTACGGCGAGGACGCTGCATTCATAAACACCGACGACGAGAGGACAAGAGCCCGGCATACCCTGGTCTTTGCGCTACCCCCGATAGGAGCACCCCACCGCCGACACTTATACTCTCTCACTCGATTCGCGTTAGGCGGCCCTTTCTATCTCTGCCCGCCCCGAGTACCCCCCCGGACGGACGCGTCTTGGACCAGCAGCATTCATCTGAACACCCTCCGAGTCCATATGTAAGCACCACTTCAATACGCCTAGTCAGCCACCCGCTCACCCACACCCTCCTCTCTTTTCGTTTTCTCTCCCAGTCCCGCCTTAGATGATTGCAACGATCACGCAGACGCACAGGATGCCTTCCGGGACGACCACGACCACGACGACCCACGCCTCGCGCAACGCCAACGGAGCGGGGGGCCCGCTGCCTCTCATCCCCCGGCGCCAGTCATCCACATCCTCCTCCTCGAATTTCTCTTCGGCCTCGTCTTCGTCGCGCGGCGCACTCCAGACCTCGGCATCGCTGCCCGCCCTGTCAGCCACCGCGTCCTTGCCTTCCTCGCCCTCTTCTTCCTCCTCCTCCTCTATGCCCACAGCCACGCCTACAATGCAGACTACGACCATCACGACCATCACCCCCGCCACACCGCCAAGAGACGACTCCGACTCTTCGACCACAACTACGACCTCGGACGGGACGCGCCCTACGATCCGTACGCGGCGCGTCCGCGGTGTACGCCATACCAGTGGCACCCAGCAGGTGTGCCCTCCTGAATTGTCGACGCCTACACCGACGCTCGCTGCTGCTGCGGGGACACCCACACCCACACCAAGTGCCACCACCCCCGGTTCCAGAAACAATATCGGTAGTCATACCCCTGAGTCTGCGTCGACACCCCGCCCCGCCACCTCGTCTGCACCCGCACACACCCCCGTCTCAGCCTCCTCTTCTCTTTCGATCTCAGGATCAAGACACCTCCTGTACACCCCCGGCATGCCTCTGCGCCTGAGCGTCGACTCTCTCAAGGCGGGCCGGTACAACGCGCACAATATCGGAAGTGAGACACCTTCCTCTTCCGTCCAGGGCTCGCAGTCCGCCTCCGCGCTATGCACCTCCTTCCCCTCCTCCCTGTCGTCCAGCACCACAACAAGCTCGCTCGGGCTAAGCCCCTCGCCCGCGATCGTGCGCAAGAAGTCCGGGCAGCTCGTCAAGCCCTCCCTCAAGCCCTCGCGCTCGTCCACGCCTACCGCGCCTTCCTTCACCTTATCCCCCCACACACTCTCCCCTCGCGCCTCCTCCTCTGGCTTCCCCTCCTCCCTCTCCCTCCCATTCCCCGGCCACCCAAGCAAGAGCGAACCCACCACACCCACCGCGTCCATCTCCAAAGCGGTCCACTTTGACGCGCAGCTCGAGCATGTGAGGCTGTTCCTCGCGGAACAGCGACCGACTGCGGTGTCGAGAGATGGGAGCCCGGTGCAGACGGAGACGGATGGGGAAGAGACGAGTGGGACGGATAGTGATTTCCCGAGGTTTATCTATGGGAGCGGGTCGGGGGTGGGGTATGGGAGGGAGGGGGGCAAGGAGAAGAGGAAAGCGGAGAGTGAGGGACAGGGAGGGAGGCTGGTGATGCACCTGGCGAATATGCCGTCGAGCCCGGGGTGGGGGAGGGATGTGGTGTTGGAGTCTTTGGTCCTTTCATCACCTTCCAACCCTCCCTCGTCCTCATCGCCCTACACCCCTTCTTCACAAGACACAGGCGCGACCACCATCACGGGCACGATCCGCGTGCGGAACCTCGCATACACCAAGCTCGTCGCTGTGCGCTTCACGTTTGACGCGTGGCTCACGACGTCGGAGGTCGCGGCGCGCTGGGCGGAGTCGATTAGTCCGGAGTGGGACCGCTTCTCTTTCGTCCTTCGTGTTGGGGAGGGGTTGATGGGGGTTGGGAGCAGTGGTGCAGGGTATGGGGGAAATGGGTATGGAGGAAATGGACAGGGCGGAGGACAGGGCGGAGGACAGGGACAGGGACAAGGACAGAGAAGGATGGAGCTCGCGGTGCGGTATACGGTGGATGGCAGGGAGGTGTGGGATAATAATGGCGGCGGGAACTACGTCGCTACGTTCTCGAGGGAGCCTCCTCCCAGGGCTTTGACCTCGACCTCCTCTTCGACCACATCCTCGTCGTCGGCGTCGGCGTCGGAGAGGGAGGATAGGCTGGATAGGCTGGGAAGAGAGGAGAGGAAGGAGAGAGAGGCCAAGGCGGACCTGGCGGACTTGAAGAGCAAGTTGGAGAAGGTCGCTACTGGTGCCAGCGTCGCCTCTTCCTCGAAGTACCAGCACCAGTACCAACACCAGCACCAGCGACAACGCCAGAGCCGCACGCAGGACGACGCGAGCACGGCGTTCAAGAGCAGTGCGTCCTTCGCGTCGAGGTATGATTTTGCGCATAGCTTGAAGAGCGCTTGGAGGCCGCCGCCGCCTGCTCCTCCTGCTTCTGTCAACAGCAGTGTGACGGGTGGGCCAGGGTTGTTGGGCCAGCACCATCGGACGCACTCGTTCCCTGCGAGTCGGCGGGCCTCTGGGGTTTCCTCTTCCACTGGTTCCGCCAATACCAACGCTCCTTCCCTTTCCTACGCCTCAGGCTCGAGTGCGAACGCCAACTCCAATCCAAACGCAAACGCAAATGCAAACGCAAACTCGCAAGCAAGGTCGAGCTCGAGCTCGATACCATGGCCACAAAAAGCGCCCTCGGACCCGTACGCGCTGCGCCGACCGGCGTTGCCTAGGATCTCGAATTCGGGGAAGCAGCGCGCACCCGAGGCGAGCTTGGGCTCGCCGCGCGATCGTGATACGAGCGAGGATGTGTTCCGCCCCTCGCACCCAGTGCCAGTGGAGAGGGAGGGGGAGGGGGAGGGGGAGGGGGTGCCGTTCGTCGTCGCGCCTCAGCCGCAAAGCCACCAGCAGGCGAAGGTGTCCCAGAGGAAGCAGGAGCGAGGAGCCAAGACGCATCATCGGGGCGGGTATTTTGACCTTGTGTTTCCTTCGCCGACACCGATCCAGGGAGCGAGCCCGGCGTCGCCGCCGAGGTTTAATTCGTTCCCGCCTGTTCGGGTAGGGGCGAGTGGGGGTGTGGGTGGGGGCGGGGCGCTCTCGTCTACGGCGCTGAGGAGCCCGACGGGTGAGAGCCCAATGCAAAGCCCGGCGATATTGACCCCGACGCCCGTCTCGCTCCCGGTGTACAAGTTGGACGGGCTGCTCGCGCCTCCTCCACCCGCCATCGCCATTCGGCCACCGCCCCAGTTCCCGCGCCGTCACAAATGGAGCGCGACTCGAGCGCCGACACCACTTCTTCTACCAGCAGCACCGACACCACCTCGTCCAGCGCGCTCTCTACACCGTCGATGGTTACGCCGTCGAGCTCGAGGTCGACCACGCCGTCGCCGACGCCTGAGATGTTCATGCGGGGGCTGGGGGTGCCGATGGGGGTTCCTGGCTCCGGCTCCGGCTCTGATGGGGATGAGAAGGTGGAAATGGGGGGGAAGGAGACGGCGAGGGAGGGAGGGATGCAGCAGGCGATGAGTGTCAGCCCTGAGGCGCATTATCGGCAGTTCTTGAACAAGTATGTTTATTTTCTCTTGTCGTCGGGTGGGTGGTAGCAGCGTGCTGACGACGGGCGTTCTACTACAGATTCTGCTTCTTCACAGGCCCCAACTCGGCGTACACACCCGCCTCTGCGCCCACGTACCCCTCGTACAACCCCGCACACCCATCCTACGCCTCCGCCCACGCCCACACCCACGCTTCCTACCACACGCACCACACGCACCACCCCACTTACCCCGGCGTCGGGGAAGACGACGACGACAACATCCCGCGCACGCACTCCGCTTCCTCGATCGAGGAGTTCCTCTCGGGCCTGTCTCCGCGGCTCGAAGCGCTCGCCGCAGCGGGACGTACGGGGCGGCCCACCTCGCCTACGCGCTCGTCGAGCTTGGACGACCTGATGTTGAGCCGGAGCACGAGTGGGAGCTTGACGCCGACGCCGAGCATGTCGAGGCTGTCGACGGTGGTGGCGGGTGGCGGGTGTGCGTGATCAAACAAAATTGTCGACTTCGTTGACCTTTCGATTTCTTTCTTTTCGATTTTCTTTTCTTTTTTCTTTTCGCATGTACCACCACCAACCAAGCCCAGCATTTATCCGAGATTCGATTTATTTATTCCTCGTTCCTGTTTCCTCTTCCTCCAATGTCTTTTCTCTTTATACCGATATCTTTATTCAATTAAATAAGATATACGTATATACACTACATCTTCGTTCGTCTCTTCATATTTCCATAAATCTTTGAAGCATATCCATTCTCTCTCCACATGTCTCTCTCTCCATCTCCATCTCCCCCTCCCCCTCCCCCTCCGTCTTCTTCTCGCCCCTCGATATATCCGGGTGAACGGTGTACGATTACTTAGTACGATACGCATTACGCATTTCACATTTCAGTACCGCATACTGTACGTACGGACTGCACACATATGTTACATGTATGAGTTGTTGCAATTTCACGAGCACTTCGAGCACGATTTCTTTTTTTGTTCGTGTCATGTAGTGCGAAACGAAACGAATGTGATGTCTTTTGGATATCTTTGGTGGTTTTGTACGATCTTTGATACGCTGAGACGCAGCTTGGCCGCAAAGGCCGCTGGGGGTTTGAAGTTCTCGAGAAGTGATACAAAAGCCAGAACGCTAACGATGCTATGGTATGCTGATGGTCCAATTTGGCTTATCAAGTTCACTCTCTCGCTTCGCTCTATCGATATCTGCAAGAACCAGCGTAAGAACTCGATAACAGGAAGACAGATAACGACTGGAAAACAACGAACCATCTTGTTCGAATCTAGTGCTTGGACAGGTTTGCTTACCAAGTTGAGAAGAGATTCACGGCATGTAATCCCAAGAATCCAGCGCCCCGGTACCAGAAAAGTGAAAAGGCTTGTAAGTGATCCTTCTCGAAGACCTTCGAAGACGCGATCTACAGCTTGAGTCCCCCAATAATTGTGTGAAATCCTCTCTCGCGAGGACTGCTCCGGTCGTTGACCTCACAAACCTGACAAATTGAATCCGGGCGGGATACACGACCCCTCATCTCTAAGCTCATCACGCCAGTCAATATCGCGCAACCCTTGAACACGATTCACCCCGGTAACTTTTCAAATGACGTTCACACAGTGATTGAATTTGCAAGTTGATGGGTACTGACAAGCGTGGAGCCAAGCGCAGATCGGACCTTTTGGGAAGCTTGGAAGCTGTGCGCCACTGTGAGTGATCCAAATAAACACACCACAGCGACGGATCCACGCTAGCGTTCGCCCAATCGTAGCCGGTCACCTCAGAGCATAACATATCTAAGCACACATGTGAGGTAAAGGCCCCGGACTACGAGGACGAAAATAGTCTGACAGGAGGGTGCCCACCCCGCAGCGCAAGAAGATCTGCAGAGGGCTAGAACGAGAAATGCGGGTCGATTATTGGTCAAGGATCACTCGTGTTATGAGAAATATGATGTGGAAGACAAAGTGCGGCTTTCCTACCCCCGCACCCAAGAGCCCAAGCGTCCAAGGGATCCAGGGTCCCTTCGAACAACGAACGAACACTGAAATTCCATGCCCCCAAGGAGGTGCTGGTTATCGCCCCCATATGCTCACCTCTTCATCCTCACGGAACTGGAATGTCTGTGAGATACTTTTTACGACTTCTGGGAGCACCTTTCGGCCCGAGGAGGGCTAGAACGTTGGTGGGATACCAATGAAGGTAGATTACATCCTTCGGATACAGAGAACCCGGGATTTGGAAGGGCAAAAATGGGTTATGGATGGCGCGGGATCTCGATTATGGAATGAATAGATGGGCCTGGACAATGGGCTGTGTGGTGGGTCGTCGAAAGAGGAAATCAATTGTCGACCAATCACCGAAGCTTGCGTTGAATGACTACCTCGTTCACCTATGAAGTCGAGCTCTAATATTATTATGGCCAGTAATTTCCTTAGATGTAGAGCAAGGGAAGGAATTGGTATGCTGTACGCTGAGGCTTGGGTACCACACGAAGAATCATATGCCAGTCTCGCCAGCGGAGAGATTCTGGCTGGGCTTGCGGACGTCCCGGTTCAGACCCTTACTTGTTGACTCTCATACCTTCGAAACCCAGTCTTCAACTACCACAAGACATGCCCTACTCAACGACTCTACTCTGGCCCGGATCCACGACTCACAGGCATCACCATCGAGCTCGATAACGTGGCCACGGTTGTCGTCACGGGACTCTCAGCTGCGTCTGAAGGAGGGGGGAAGAAGGCGTTGATAAGCAGCGATTAGCTGGAATGTGGGGTGAGTACGTACCTTGCCACCACCACCTCATTGCGGCCTGACTTCCGACCACGACTATCCAATCCAACAACCGCTACAGGGCATCCAAGTCCAACCACCCACCAACGTCGACGTTGACTCCCGGCTCGATGGAAAGCCAAATGGCTCTCAACCAGAGGCCCTATGAGAGTCCGTTGGGACGAGTCGTCACTCGCCCGGTGTTCCCAAATATGACAGACAATGGGTCTTATATACCTCTCTGTCGAGCCTCGCCTTTGTCGCTGGAGGGTTCCAGAAGGTAGTGGGCGATGTATGATCCTTTCCGGACGTTATGCTCCGTAGCTCCAAGTACCGAGCCGTTAGCATTCCGAGGGCACATCCAATATACTTCTCGCACCTTAGACCTCTTTCTTGCGTAGTTCCCGCTCTATCCTGTCGGACTCAGGTCGTAGTAAGAGGCCGACATACCCACCGCGGCTGGGGGAATCAAGTTGAACCTGCTGGGATTTTCGGGAGAATGCATTCGCATTAATTTTAAGCTGTGCCCCTTCTGCCTATGGCATATACGGACCATGACTTACGGACACTGTGTGCCGTGAGTCGCCTCCACCGTTGACAGCGAGAGCAGCGTCCATATCAACGGCAGCCAATCACAGCCTGCTTCGGAAGCGGAAGGGATGTATAACATTTCCTTTTTCGTTTTCACCATCAGACCGGGCCGTGAAGGAGCCAATTACCTTTGAGTGAATTCCAGTGGGTTCTCCGACGCTCTATGGTAAGTTAGCAGGAATAACGGCTTAAAATCGTTTTGTCCTTCAAGCAAAAAGAGTAAACAGCTAAATATATCATCAACTATGTTATCTTGGTGCGTAGTTAGTATTTCGAGCAGTCTATGCATCAGCATAGGCTAAGATGCCCGAACCGCTGCTTCGCAATTTCCGCTACCTCTAGGCGGTGGGTCGTAGGGTGTACCCTTCAATGAGGCCCAAGTAACGAGCGTATACCAGGTCGTTCCATCCTTCATGCTCAGTTCTATACATTGTTCATATGAGCTATAGCAGGCTGGCTGGCCCTCTTTGACGTAGGTATTCATAGGAAGAGGTTGACGACGCAGAACTGAAGGTGCCAGAATGTTTTGTACTGCAATTTCTGGGTGTGTCGTAGGTCCAGGGTGTGTTGCCATATTGCAGTGTACCAGTAAGGGATGCGAAAAGTCTAAACCCAAAACGGTCGTCGGGAATTTCCGAGTCTGCCGTCGGTTCCAAGAAGCCGGTAGCGTCTTTGAGCTTCTAAGTACTCCCTACTTCATCGCAAGTCGCATTGATGCAGCCTCGAGATGCATTTGCCAATGCTTATAAGTCTCAAATCGTGACAGAGCTCTTCTAACCATTACGCGGACGAGGAACTAAATTCCTCGAGGCATTGCACAACTCGATCCTATCAGGTGACTTCTCTCTTTGCTCGCATACTGCACGACTTAATATATAATTTCACGAGCACGAGCAGGGTTTTTTCTGCAGATTTTACTATGTGTTTCCAAACAAATGTAATGTCTACTCGTAAGTTGAACAATAGCGACACCAAGAGACATAGAAATCGTCCGAAATATTCCATATGTCGCAGGCTGGAAGGAAGACCGATAGTGACTGGAAAAAGAACTCTCACTTCCGTGCGTATACAGTCCCTTACCAATTGCTCTATCTTCCTAGTCCTTGGCTAGAATTAGGTGTACCTACCAAGTTGAGAAGGGATATTCACGGCAAATCCCAAGAATCCTGCGCCTCTACCCTGGAAATTGGAAAGCCTCTCAATAATCGCTTCGCGAAGACGTACATACCTCTCGCTCTAATAATTCCGTGAAATGCTCTCGTCCGGAGGCCGTGAGAAGACGACCCTGGACCTATCGACTCTTCCCGACACAAACCTTTCGAGCTGAGGCCTGAGCTCCCCAGCCTGACGAAGTGAAGCCGGGCGCGACGACGGCCTCTTAGGTACACCACGCCAGTCGATATAGCGCAACATTTAAACACGATTCCTCATCGTAACCGTAATGTTCACACAATTTGATTGTGAAAATTGATGGGACAGAGGCCAAGCGCAGATCGGACCTTTTTGCAACCTGGTGCGCCACTGTGGGTGATCCAAATAAACACAACATCATAATTCACACCAGCGTCCCCCTCACACCTGGTCACCTCTATGTGAGGAAAACCTTCTGAGCTTCGAGAAGGCAAGAATCTGAGACGAGAGCGTCCGTTCGTCCGCTCCCGGCGCAAGGGGATCTGGACAGGGCGGTTGGATGTTGTGGGGGGCTAGAACTGTGAATTGCGGAACAACTATTGGCATGGGGTAATTTAGGCCTTGATAATCAGGACGAGAAGACAAAGTTCGGCTTGCTACACCCGCACCCAAGAGCCCAAGCGTCCAAAAAAGGGCGAAGCCATCAAGGGTTCCTTCGAACAACTAAATTCAATCCCCTAAAAGAGGTCTCGTTTATCGCGCCCGTATTCATCCGCGATGGATGTGGAAATGTGTAGACGTCTGTGAGATAATTTCTACGACTTCTGGGAGTCCCTTTCGGTCCGAGAAGGGCTAGAACGTTGTTGGGATACCAATGCAGGTAGATTACACTCCACGGGAACAAAGAGCCCGGGATTTGTGAGCTTTATGGATGGTGCGGAACCCCGGTTATCAATTGAATCAATGGGTCTGGACAGTGGGCTGTGTGGTGGCTCATTGGAAAAGGAAATCAACCGTCGACCAATCCCCAAAGAGGAATGAGGCCAGTTACTCAACGACCACCTCAACCAGCTACGGGTTGGAGTCGATGTTGAAGATTATTAGGCGCTTTATTTCGGTGTAAAGAAGTGGAGTGACAGTAGTATAAGCTGAAGCTTGAAGCCTGAGTGCCAGACGGATAATCATATGCCAATATTTGCACAGAAATTCTAGCTGCTCTCGCAGGCATCCCGGTTCAGACCTTCACTAGGCCTCACTCGTTGACTCTCAGGACTCGAAGACTCGTCGTTAACTATGCGAGTACATGCTCCACTTAACGACTCTACCGTGGCCAGGATCCAAGCTCCGCATGCGGCACCATCAAGCCCGGCGATGAGAGCATGTCCGTCATCCCACGCCCACATCTGTCGACCGTACTTGAACGAAGGAAGTCGTCGGTCAGCACTAAATGGTTGGTTCGTGCGGTGAGTACATACCGTCCTCTCGCCTCCTCGTTGCGGCCTTGTTTTCCGCCCCCAGTCTTCGATCCGCCCAGCAGGACAGGCAATCCCAGACCTACCCGCCAACGTTGATGTTTACTGGCAGCTCAATGGAGGGCTGAATGACTGTCAGTCCGAGGGCCGTATGGAAGTCCCGTTAAGGCGAGTCGTCACTCGCCCGGTATGTCTAACTAGGACTGACAATGCGCCTTATATACTACACAACGGGCCCTCGCCTTCGTTGCTGGATGGTTCCAGAAGGTAGTGGGCGAGTTATGATCCTTACCAGGACGCTATGCTCCGCAGCTGCAAGACCCGGGACCGTTAACACTACAGGAGCATGGAGTATAGCATTTCTGCACATACGACCTTTTTCTTACCTATTTGCCGCTCCTCCTCGATTCCCCAGCTGCGAGTCGTAGGCCGAAATATCCGCTGTTGCTTGAAGGAGAATGATCCCGCTGGAATGTTGAGGAGAATGCATTGCTATTCATTTTAAACCTCACACCCTCTGCATCTGACGTCCGCGGACCATGACCAACGTCCACACCGCGCCGTGATCACCTCCACCGTTGAGAGCGACGCTGGCGTCCACATAAAAGGCAGCCAATCACAGGCCGCCTCAGGAGCGGAAGCAATGGCCAACATTTCCTTTCTTGTCGTGATAATCAGACCGGGCCGGGACCCAGCAGGATCGTGAAGTTGGGCCAAAATACCTGCGCCTGAACTCGCTACTTGCTGTATCAAGGGATGCTTCGAAACTGTAATGGTAGTTTAGCGCCCATCTTCAAATTCAAAAGATTAGACTTCATTAGGCTTTGCACTATCTCAGACAAATCGAGGATAAAGAATCGAGGAAAACTGCAAAGAAATTGAGTCGGAATGGTCATACTCAACGCAACTGGATGATAGAAGTACACCTGAACTCAGACTCGGTGACTCTTAGTATCACGGAGTTGAAGGCTGCATTACTAGTACTGGTATCGCCGACACCGGGTAATTAGCTTAATTTGAGCTTCTTGAAGTATGCATCTTAAACGAAATTTATTTCCGGAATTATAGCAATGGCATGCTGGCTGTGGTAGTCGGGAGCAAGTTGACTGTCGACTCTTTCGGAACTGAAATGGTGAAAAAATGGCTCGGAAAGGCGTCCTCGGCCGAAGCTTTCACAGAAACCTTCAGCGCCAGCTTCTGGGCGTATACCTCTTCGGTAGCTTCGCGATATGTATTCTCAACATAGGAAGTGCCGAACACTACGAACATTTAGAAAGCCCCTAACACAGTTTTCCCACGCCCTTTACACAGCAACATCAGACGGGACTACGTTTGCTTTCAACCCGGAAATGGCTCGGAAACCTAGTAGACGACAGTGGACACACACGCAGTCAGTTCCCTCTTCCCGGCCCCGCAGTCGCTGTAGGTCACAGCTTCGAAAGGCTTCGGACGATAAAAGCGAGAAGGCAGAGGGATTCGATTTATAACAAACGTAAATTTTCCGGTCTCGAACTTCATTCGTGTCTTCCTGGACTTAACGCTTTATGTGGCAGAGAACTCTGAACTTCTGGCCATTCCGCTGCGATTCACCTCGGTCTTGTTGAAAAGTCTTATCTGGAGAATCTGTCTGCTTGTCGACACAACATCGACGACGAGCTCGCGATCTAGCCGGGGTGCAACTCTTTCCTCCGACGCGTCCAAATTCCACGCGATATGGCACGAGAGCGTAAGGGTGCCTCTCATTTCACGATTGTCATCAAGCTCGGTGAGTCTTATCCACCATCCAGCCATGATCATGACTCAATGCTTCCCTGACCCGCAGGTACCTCCTCCATCGTACACGAAAAGACCCACCAGCCCCTCCTATCCACGCTCTCCGCAGTCGTCGAGACAGTCATTGAGCTCAAGCGGCATGGACACAAGGTTGTGCTCGTCAGCTCAGGCGCAATCGGCGTTGGGCTAAAACGCATGGACATGGAGAGTCGGCCGAAGAGTCTGTCGGGGAAGCAGGCGTTGGCGGCGATTGGCCAGGGGAGGTTGATTGCGTTGTGGGATAATTTATTTGGCCAGCTTGAGCAGCCGATCGCGCAGGTGTTGTTGACGAGGGGAGATATTTCGGATGTGAGCGCTCTGACAATGACGATGTGTGTGGGTTGTTGGTGGTGAGCTGACGATGAGGATTGGTTGTAGAGAACGCGATATTTGAATGCCGTCAACACGTTCAGAGAGCTCCTGTCGATGGGGGTTGTGCCGATCGTGAACGAGAACGACACGATCTCCGTCAGTGTAAGTACATTTGTGGTTCCGTGTCTCTTTCAAGAACTCATTGAGGAACTAGGAAATCAAATTCGGAGACAACGACACGCTATCCGCCATCACATCGTCGATGATTCAGGCAGACTATCTGTTCCTGCTAACGGACGTCGATGGTCTCTACACTTCGAATCCACGGAAAGACCCTGATGCGAAGCAGATCGAGGTTGTTAGCTCACTTGCCGCGATACGGGCTCAAGGTGCGCGTATATTTCCCCAGTTGTGTTCAGCTCATTGACGTATCTCAAGTCAGCACGACAACGCTCGGCTCAAGCCTCGGTACAGGCGGGATGGAGACGAAGCTCATCGCAGCCGAGATCTCGACAGCTGCAGGTGTGACGACGGTCATTACCTCCAGCAAGCACCCAGAGGACATCTTCAACATCATAGAATACGACCGACAACTCAGGCACCCCTCCGAGCTTACCACTACCTCCCCATCCACGTCCACCTCAACAACTCCATCCCTGCCTCGCCCGCCCCACACCGTATTCCTCCCTTCTTCCGAGCCCGTTCGCGACCTCAAGTCATGGACATCACATACGCTGAACCCATCCGGCAGCGTCCTCATCGACGCCGGCGCACACCACGTTCTATCGAAGAGGGAATCGGGTGGCCGCCTCCTCGCTGCTGGTGTGATAGGCGTCATTGGTGCGTTTGCAGCGGGCCAGGCGGTAAGAGTGGTCGTGAGACGGGGCAGGGTTGGGCAAGAGCAGAGGGAAGAGGAGAGGAAGGCGTATTTGAGGGCACTGGAGTTTACGAGGCCGAGTACGCCTACGACGGCTGCATTGGCGGCTGAGTTGGAGGCAGAGGTAGAGGGTGCGAGCGAGGAGCCGGAGGGGGACAGTGGGAAGGTCAGGATACAGGTCCCTGAGGCGGATGGGGATATCGAGGAGCAAGAGGGCGAGATTACGGAGGCGGATGTGATTGAAGTTGGACGAGGGCTGGCGAATTACAACTCGGCGCAGATCCTGGCGGTCAAAGGGTTGCATAGGTGGGTCGTACCGTTTGCTGCTCTGGATACTTGCAGGCTGATTGACTGATTGTCTATGGAGTTCATTCTTGCCGCAGGTACTGGGTTATGCAGACTCGGAATACGTTGTCGAGAACATCACCATTCGGAACCCTCTGCAGACTCCGCCATCGTACGCGTAATTCACCTTCTCATGTCCCATCCCAATTGTGGCTCTTAGAGAAATGCATGACAAGTTCATGATTCATCCCTCGCTAGGGATTGACTAGGACTTCCGACGCGTTCCTCAACCTCTCTCCTTCCGATCCCAAAGCCTTACGTTCGACCCTCAACGATTTCAAGCCCATTCGCCTTCAAGCCAAAAGTGCTATCCATGAAATTACAGTACATACAATTACAAGCTTCGGGGACTCAACTAATAATACATAGACACATTGACACACATACTCTACGTCGTATGCACCACTCCGAGTCGGAGTCTCGCAAGCAGTCCGTAGTGGTCGCTGACCCACACAGGGCTCCGTTCCTTTCCCTCCCCCTGCTCCTTTGAGTTGTCGGGTCTGAATCTGAGGTTGAAGGCCAGCTTTCTGTCGTGCTCACCCTCCTCCGGAACGACCTTCAGCCCAACGCCGACCTTCTCGATCTCCTCAGCCTTCAGCTCGCCGACCAACAAGATCTTGTCCATCCTCGTCGGCGAATACTTTGTCGTAGGTGGTAGCCCCAGGTGTGGCCCGCGGGGTCGTCATCTTCCTCTCTCTTCGCAACCTGACCATCATCCTGAATTACTTCTTCCTTTGCCTCTTCTTCTCCCTTCCCCTCTACTTCTGTTTTCGACGTAGACACGGGCTCATGGCACTCAATCCAGGCATCCCGAAGACCAAATCGCTCCGTAAACGAGCGTCAGTCGGCGCGATGGGGTTCATATCGCCTCCCACCAGCCCAGCATATATCTTCGGTGCAGAGAGGAAGGCTGCGACGGATTTGAGCTGCCTGATGCGCGCGGGGTCTCCCTGGCCACGGAGCGATTCGAGGTGGACGTTGGCGATACGGATGATCTTCGGTTCGGGCTCTGGTTCTTCGGGCTGCACAAGGGCGCCGGTGTCTTCTACAGGAACGACCAAATCAACGAAAAGCGCCTCCCTGCTCATCCTGCTCCCTTTAAACTTCGTCCTGAACACCGATACCGTGTTCCCAGCCCACGCGCGCGGTACGAGCGTAACAGTCCCGTAATTGGACCCAAAGTTCTCCCATGTGCGTGGCGACACGTCCGTCAGATCATACTGCTCCCTAACCCAGGGATGCTGGAGGAGCGCGCTGAAGCAATTAAAATGCATCTCCTGTATGAGCACCATGCACGGCACAGCGAGCGGGGAGATGAGCGTCTGCAGATGATCCAGAGCAGCCCTGAGACGCGACCGCTCATAAGCTGGCATGAAGTTGACGTTCCATGTCGCGACGGCCAAGGAGTTTACGGGTACCGGGTCGATTAGCGGGTGCGTTGTGGGCGTACGGGGTACCCAGGTGCTTGTTGAAGGGTCGAAGGTGTAGAGGTCCTTTAGAGAGGCGGGCCAACCTTCGAGGGAGTCATCTGCGTTGAGTTGAGGGAGAATCATGTTCGAGTTGAGGGTCTGTGGTTGGTTCGTCATCCGATGGGAGAATGTGGGTGAAGGTGGGCTTGGAAGCTGGAGGACTGGACATCATGATGGAGCACCTCAAGTCCGTCAGTCACAGCCCCTGCTACACCAATGACTCAAAAGTGAATCCAAATTTAGATTGCAGAAATTCGGTTTTTTTCCCAATAGGCACTCGCTACTAAGCCCGCTACTCACCTCACTTGCAACCAGGTTGCCGTTAGCCCCTCAGTTATTCGCTAACATTGATGGAAAGTAGGAGGTGTGCACGACGTTACTGTCGATGAGTTGGCCCAGAGAGAGAGACTCGGAGAAGCCAAGTTTACAATTCTTCTGTTTAACGCCCATGTGAAGATCGGAGCTCAGGGCTAGATTAGATTAGTCCGGGGTGATACAGAACTGGTTTATTTTGTTCTTCTCTACTGATACTATATCCAAATGACAGCCCCTCTCCTTCTCGATCTACCACGCAAGCAAGACACCTCCTTCCGATGCTTTTGATTCCTCCCAACGCCAATGAGTTTCCAGTGCGATATGATGCCAGGAAGAAATGTCCTCGAGAATTTTACACAAAGCAAAAAAGCGACATGGTTAGATGCAGAATACAAATTATTCATTACGACATGCAAAGAGATCGTCCGATGCTTGGTTTGTGCCATTTCTTTCGCTTTTCTTTTTGGTTCGACTTCGTTTCGTTCAAACTCAGTAGAGGACTTCGACGCCATTCTGTTCCGCCCACTCGCCGAACAAGAGGCTGATGCTCTCGCCATTGTGCGTGCGTCGAATGCTCTCGGCGATGGTCGGGCTGACGTCGATCGTGACCAGCTTCTTGCACAGGGCCTGGTGCTGCTTTTGTGGGATGGTGTTCGTGACCACCAAGCGCTCGATAGGAAGTTCATCTATCGAAGCGAGGTTCGTTTCCGATAGAAGCCCTAGAATAACAACGTTCGTTGGGACCAAATCGCGCAGAAGCATGACGTACCATGGGAAATCAGGGCGTGGACGGATTTTGCACCCTTCTCGTGCAGCGTGCGGGCTGCAAGGGTAAGGGTGGAGCCAGTATCAATCATGTCATCGACGAGGATTGCAACCTTAACGAGAGTGATAAATGATCCCTTCGGCAGAATGGCGAACGTGTGTGTACCTTGTCCTTCACATCACCGACAAGGATCTCCATCCGCTCAGGAGCCGTCAAGGACTTGCCGTCCCGTTTCCGATGGATAAGGGCGAACTCGACGTTGAGCTTGTCCGCAATGGCAGTGACACTTGGTTATGGAGAGACAAAACCGGATGAGTCAGCCGAGGTCTCCGACGCTGGAGCTCCGACCCTCCGCCGACAGAGCGCTAGAGCAAGAGGCCATGAGGTCGAGAACACGCACCGTTTGGCGCCACCAGCGTCCGGACTGACGACGATGCCATTTTCCCAGCCAGGGATCCGCCGCTTGATGTACCCAAGCATGAGCGGCTCCGACCAGAGGTTGTCGACCGGAATATCAAAGAAGCCTTGGATCTGGCTCGCGTGGAGGTCCATCGTAATGACGTGGTCGCAGCCGGCCACGACGAGCATGTTCGCCACGAGCTTCGCCGTAATCGGGGCACGGCTCTTGTCCTTCTTGTCGTTCCTCGCGTACGGGAAGCAGGGGATGACGGCAGTGATCCTCCTCGCCGAGGCAGTCTTGCACGCGGAGATGAGGATGAGGAGCTCCATGAGATTGTCGTTGGCATCGTCGCAGCCGGACTGGATGATGAACACGTCCTCGTCTCGCACGGACTCGGAGATCTTCACGTTCGTCTCGCCGTTGGAGAACTTCTTGACGGTAACAGGCACGAGGGGTACATTGAGCCTATGAGAGGTTCGACGATGAATGCGGCTGTTCGTGGGTGCTCATGATGAGCCTCACCGCTCGGCCACGGCCTGGGCGAGCTCGGGGTGACTGTTCCCTGTGGTCAGACATGCATCAGGGGTGTCCGACGTTAGAGCTGACGCACTCACCCGCGAGGATACGGATGGAGTTGTTGTGATACATGGCAGGGGATGGAAATAATAAAAAGGAGATATATAAACTATAGCATGGAATGAGGGAAAGGCAGGGGTCAGTGGATGTACAGAGGAAAGAAGAAAAAGAGAAGACGTGATTGGCGCAAGGAGCAAAAATTATCACGGAATCGGTGCTGTTTGCGTCCCAAATACATCGCACAGCCACCGGCTATTTGCCGGGGCATCCGGACTGAACGTTGTTCACAATCTTGTCCGCTAAAGTCTCTGGACAGAGTTCCCCGAGAAGGAGGAAAAAGAGGGACATGATACATCCCAGTTATTCATTGCGCTATGGGACGTAGTTGGGATGGCACAGAAGGCGAATATGATGTAGCATAACCCAGGCAGTCGGTCAGTCAGTCAGCAAACATCCATTGAAGAGAACGACACGACTCGGACGCACCTACGCAACTACTTGACCTCCGATCTCTTCCGCCTCATGGACATGTATCTTGGCCTTCGCACACGCAGCTTTTGAAGAGATGGGAGGAAGACGGTGTGTGGCTGGCGAGGTAATCATGGGGATGAAGCTGCGTTGAAGATAACCTCTTGGTACTTGGTAGACGTGATGACCATCGTTCTGGCTTGGAATAAGCTAACAATCCCAATCGCCCAGTCTGCCTCGCGTAAGGGTCTTTCTATGGGTTCGAAGTGTAGAGCTCACCGACATCCGGAAGCAAGAACAGACATTCGGCCTGAACGATCGAGGATGTAGTAACTGATAACGTGTGCCAGTGGTTGTCTCCAAATTTGACATCCTAGTCTCCTCATGAGCTCTAGAAGAAGAGGAGAGATCGCGAAAGCACCTACATTGACAGGTATCGTGTCGTTCTCGTTCACGATCGATCGGCACAACTTCCATCGACAAGACCTCTCTGAATGTATGGACGGCGCCGCAGCATTCAAGTGCCGTGTTTTCTGCAATGCATCGTCAGCAAACACCACGAACATATAAAAAGTGCACCCACATCTGCGATATCTCCCCAAGTTTGACGCCGATAGTGAAATGAGAGGCTTCTTGACGATATTGTCCCATATTCAGGTCGTATATGCGTAGAGATTGGATGCATATGAGAGGCAAGATCAGTCGTTGATGTTGTGTCGACAAGCGGTCAAGATTCTTTCTTCAACAAGACGGTGGAAAATCACGGCGAAACAAGAAGAAATTCAGAATTATCTGTAACAAAAGACAAGAAATAGGGCTCAGGATGACGAAAATGACAGTGTGCTGCATTGGCAGACGCCCACAACGATGAGGAAAGGGTGTGGGAATGATGTTAGGGGGTTTCCAATCTAATCAGCCTATCAGCCCGTGGGCGCTAAATCAGAAATACTTACACCTAGTTTCTCACCCTGGTTCAGGTACATGGTCGGCAGAAAAAATGTGCGCAAGTACTCCTCTACAATCCGAATGAACACCCGAAGGCTGACCTTATTTTGGTTGCAACCGAGGTAAATGATGGTCTTGGCGGGTGCGTACTAGCACAGACTACGAACGGGTACCACAACGGGCTTTCATTTTTTTAATATAGATTTGGTGCACTCGTTCGCAACAACGCTCTCCCCTCTCTACCTTCCATCTCTTCCGTGGCCGACGAATTTCAACGTCAAGTATTATGTGAGTGGCTATTTTTAGACCAGTACATATCCAGCTAAACAAGAAATCGCAGGAATCGCAGTGCGCTGCAACGTCCGCCTTCGAATGCCCTACTCTCAAATGTATTCCTTGTAGTGCTTGCTTCTCTCGCGCGTTGGTAGACGTCTACCCTGCAGGAGACTCCACTATGACGAAGAGTGGGTGGAGGTGCCGGGACGAATGGTGCGCCGATTGCCACCTTTCTAGTCGGTCCTCTTCGTGACACCAGATACCGCCAATAGGATGGCCAATACCTTGACATTATATCGGTCGTATATCCGGCCGCTGGTGGGCACTCTGCGAGGTTGTATTACGAAAAGGTCGTTTCGATACTTTCATCAACACGGTCAAGCTGGGAAATTATCCGGTCATTGGATTGAATGATAACGATAGGTCTGCCAGCACCCGTAATAGACTCTAGGACGCACTTGGGAGCGATTATAGTCGCATGGCTATAGTCACGATTGCGAAGTCAGTTTTCCTCGATTGTTCCTTTTCACACTCGTTGACGGCCACTTTTCGGGCGGATAGCCGTATATGTATCATCGTCCACACATAACTATTACATCGAGAATGCCGTCAAGTCGCTCAAGGCCAAAGGTTCAGTACTCAGTACTCGTAGTCTCCGCGCAAGCGTCTGGACGAACAGCGTGCTAGCCACGCTTCGCATGGCACACTATGTATGCTTACCGCGAAGCATTATGGCGTATGTCGATCACTAGCACTATGTGGCTCAGCTGTTCAAAACATTGTGAATACAGTGACAAATATGCGTTATTAGAATAACCACTTGCATGGGCCGCGGCCGCCTGAAGATGCGGACACCGTCTACGCGTTCGTGAGGGTCTGGTGTGTGGAAAGAGTTCAACGGACGCTGTATGGTGGTCAGAAGAACATGGTGAGACCTACCCAAGCTTATTTCTCTCTGTGATTAATTAAACTACGATAGGACAATACTTGCAGTCTCTGTAAGCCTCCGACTCCAAGGCCTTCTCATGAAGGTCCCCAGCTGAATATCTTTCGTTCTTGATAAGAACGTACTTGTACCGATGTAAGCCTCCGATGTCCATGTGTTTGTTCTACCCTTCGTTGAACTTCAGAAGATTTTATCAAACCGAATGGACTTTGAGAACCTAGCGAGCGACGCGTGGAGGCGCGTCCATATTGCTTGCGCGCCGTGCTCAACGGTCCGTGCTCGACCGTTGCAGTATTCCGTTCCGGGGTGAGGTCATCTCAGTCTAGGCCTGCCGGGGCTCTTACGATTTGATTTCCGAAAGGCAATTTCCGATGTCCTCTTCCGTTCCAACTTCACCTCTTTAACCTCGTCCACCTTCTTCGAAGGCAAGACTGTTTACAGCATCTGCGGGAGAAGTAGTCTCCTTAATGTGTCCTGGGGCGACTCATCTATCATTGAGACGCGTCAGGAGGACAAAATCCAAAAAGTTCAGGTCAGCTTTTGTTCTTTGCAAGCATCCTGACCAAAAGTTCTGACTCTTTGACTGACACTGACAATCATCTTCAAATCAGAAAACAAGTCGGATGACCTAATCCTGGAGGGATTTACGCGGCTGATGGCCTTGCGCATTTGCCTAGTCTCTATGCTCATTCTCCTGTCCTCTCGGTCCTGCAAGAGTGTTGAAAGCCGAGTCAGGTTACATGCGATTAACAAATTCGCGTTGGTCGGGATGACCTCGGTCCCACATGGTGAACCTCATTTAGCGCCATCCAGCCATGCTGTTTGACGGTTAGTAGTGATTCACCGCCCACCAACATACCCAAGAAAGGGCCTCCGGAACCTGACTCGGGTAGCGTCCTCGAATCTCCGTCCGTCTTTCTCCTCATGCAGCCGATAAGCCTGGACTGCCTTGTTGGCCACAAAGGGCTTCCTCCCCTTGAGAGCCTTGCGGTGGTAAGCAGTGCGTGTCGCCGAGATGGACGGTCGAGTGTTATCGATCGAGTGCGCATTGCTGCCGTACGCTTTGTACCGACACAGACGGTTTGAAGCCGGTCATCATCCCCGCTTTTAAAAATTCTCGGCCACCAATTGGCCCTTCCGATTTTCTCGTCACTTGGTGACTAGTGCATTGGTGGCGATTTAATGTTGTTCCACGATGGAGCTGAGGCCATATATTGGATTGAATGCGGGGTGCTCAGAAGTAGGTCCAATGGTCGACGCATCGAAGTTTCGGAACTTGACGCGCTCTTCTGCTTCTGTAGATCCCCCAAATGTCCAAGACTGGCTTTCCGTACCGGTTGGCAATTCTCGACCCGGTCCTAAAAATATCCTCCGACTCTGGAAGATCCTTGGCGTCGGGCGAGAGCGAAATCGTCAGTTGATAACCTCATTGAGGCAGGGACGATGGTCCGGTCGTGGACCCAATCGACTCGAGGAGATGTCTACCATTGGTCATACAATTCGTGCGGCCGAATAATCGGCAGGCCCACTGCTCGTCGAGTATAAAGGGCGCCCCCTCCCGGCACCATCTCTTCGTACTCATTTTTGATACCTCCCAAACATCGGTTCCACCTACCCCGCACTTTACGACCTTTTTATTATGCGCGCTTTTGCTCTGCTAAGTACTGTTGCCCTTGCGATCTGGGGTGCAGTCGCCGCACCTCTGGAGTCCTCTCTTGAACGCAGAGCCGCAACGGTCTACACAAGATGCACGACCGCCAACACGGCCGCCCTGACCTTTGTAAGATCGGAGCTCCATACCTTCTACCACTCTTCAGGGGAAACTAACCGTCTCTATTACTTAGGACGACGGCCCATACATTTATTTGTATGCCCTCATTCTTCTCGGTCATCGGCCGAACCTCTGACCAATTACATAGGTACGATATCGTCAATACCCTCGACGCTGCTGGCGCGAAGGGTACCTTCTTCTTTAGTAAGTCCGCTCCTCCCCTTTCACCCCATATAGCTGCTAATTGATCATGTCAAACTAATAGACGGCAACAATTGTATGGAAGATCTGTCTCCACAATCCAAGAACTTGACTAAATACTTCTTCGGTGTCTAGATGGCTGCATCTACTCGGCTGACAACATGGCGCGTGTGAAGTATGCCTACAACCACGGCCACCAAGTCGCTTCGCACACCTGGGCGCACAAGGATCTTACAACGTTGACCTGGGACCAAAGTGAGTTTATCAATTTTGTTTCGAGGAAGAGCGGATGGACTTACATGGTATTCCTCGCGTAGTTCATGACGAGATGTGGCGCGTCGAACGTGAGCCTAGACTTTAATAGTCCGACTGAATTCGGAAAATGACCTTCTTTTCTCGGCAGAGGCCCTTGTAAGGATTGTCGGCGCCTACCCGGCCTTCATGCGCCCTCGTACGTCGCTTCTTCTACCCAGTTATTTCCACTGCTAATCCAGTTATAACCACAGCCTATGGAAACTACAATAGTCTGGTTCTCGAAGCCTCAGGCGTTCGTGGTCAAGGTGTCGTCATCTGGGACTTTGAGTAAGCAATTTCCCTCGCTCGTCTTCGATATATGCTGAACAAGCTGCTTCCCTTCTTCAGCTCTCAAGATTCCCTCGGTGCTAGTGCCCAGACTTCTAGGAACCTGTACAACAACATTGCCAACCAACGTCCAAGCACCATTCTTGCCTTGAACCACGAGACCATTGGTACGCCTTCCTTCGTGTCGAGATCGGTGATGAAATCTAATCAAGAATTCTCTAGAAACCACTGCGTAAGGAGGTCGGATTGTGTACCGGTGTCCTCTGAGCTAACCGGTTTGATATAGCCATAATGTCGTCGCCTATGCCATCCAGCGTCTGCAGAGCGCAGGGTACAGACTTGTCACTCTGTCAGAATGCCTCGGCAAGCCTGCCTACCAGAGCACTGCTGCTCCCCAAACGCCAGATGTGAGCTGTTTTATATCCTTCTTTGCCGTTCAATGCTAATAAAGTGCACATCAGTCCTCCTGGCGCTGCTAAACGCCACACTAATGCTACGGACATTCCACGGTCTTGCCGTTCGGATTCTTCCCGACTTGCAACGAACACTGTTTTACACAAGCGAACGCTCCTATAATGCCTGATGATACTTACGAAATGCCCTCGGACGTCTTACGACGCCTAACTAGCTAGTTCTGTCTTTGAAGCTGCGAACTTAAACGAATTTTCGAACTCGAAATAATTTCGTTCTGTATGTATCTTAGTACCTAGTTTCTTCGCTGCAAACACTCCGTGGTACCCACGCACTACTCCTTGGCCTACGCTACTGTTGTCCTTACTTCGTAGGAAGAAGAATAAAATCTTCAAATCTTCAATGTGGTATTTAAATTTTAGGAGGGGCCTTGGCAGCCTCTTTCTCATCTGCGAGGAGGCGTTCGACGTTGGTGCCTAGCTTCAAGCGCTGGTCTATGGTCAAGGAAGGGTGGGCGGAGTATCCAAGCTCTGCAAGTAATTGAATGGGAAAACATCAAGAAGGCATACATAGAGACGTACTAAGGCTGGCATACTGCAGGGGAATATCCCGAGTGCGGACTGGCAATGTCGAAGTATCAAGAGGATATGGCGTCCCGAGCCAGGCTGCTCGGCCTTCGTGGTCCCTGCATGGGTTGTTACAAAAGGTCTGAAGGGTGATTAAGCAAGAAATGTGACCAACTTTCGCTGTTCCATCCAAGGGTATTAGCATGGCAATCTATGGCAATGAAAGGGCCACTCTCACCTCTTCCCTCGTCAAGGGGTGGATAAGGATACTCAAATTGCCGCGGTGCATGCAGAGGTACGAGAAGACAGAAGAGAAGGTCTCAGATGGGGCCCATATCTCGTAGGACCCTTGAATCTATCAGCCTGATTTCATGGACCCTGTGATTGAAGAACATACCGACGGGGTGAGGGCCCATGGGACTTGTGTTCACTCGGAAAAGAGGAACTGCCACGAAGGCGCCGTCGCGGCGCAGACGCAGTACAGCGTCTCGCAGCTGTAGAGCGGAAGCGTGCTCTTCTTCGTTGTTCTGGTGGAAATAGATGTCTGTTATTTGACCAATGAGTATCATAGCCCAATTGCACAATCGTTTTTCGGTAGCTGGGTAGACTTACGGAAGTGCCACTCCCTGAAGGATTCACGGAAATAAGATCCAGAAGCTTAAATCGCGCTCATTTATGACAGAAGCATACTTGATCTCTGTATCAACGACATATTGAAGGTCAGTCGGAGGTGCTGATTTGGACATGGCCTCGACAAAATGCGACGGAGATGGGGCAAACAAGCGGACGCGGTGAGAGAGGTGCTGGGTTCAACTTCTATTCAATTAGCTCATCCATGCCATCGATGACCCCATTGCAGTGCACAAGGTGGGGGGACTGGATGACTAAACAGGGGCTAGAGCAACACGCGATTCAGGTGGCAGTTGTCTCTTCAGAGGTCTAGAAAGCACCAAGGTGGCACATGAAGAGCCAAGCCTGGGGATTGCGGGCCAATGAAGAAGGGCAGACCGTTGGGAGATCTTATTCGACGTTTATCAACATGTAAACGAGGCCAGCGAGAGGAAGTACAGAGCTTTACACGCTAATCGTAAAGAAATCCAGAGGCGGTGAAAGGTAGGGCGGGCAGTAAACACATTACAGGTGTCATGAAGGGCGCAGACGAAGGGCAGGAGTATATATACAAAGCAAAGACAGCAGGGTGCAATGGGATGTGCAGGATAAGAGGAGGGTTGTGGATGAGATGCGATAGAATCAAATAAAAAAAAAGGGGTGCGCCAGAGGCGAAAAATAAAATAAATTATGGCAAACCATCGCGCCTGCTATCCAATATCCATAGCATCGCTCCGGGCCCGTTCCTTGCCCTTCAGACTGCCAGTGCTGACACTCGTTCGTTGAGGGAGCATCGAGACACCATTTGGCACCCCATTAACCATGGTCGGAAGATTCGTCGCCATCGCAGCTGGCCCCTTCAGAGATGCATGAATGGGCTTCTCTACAGGTTGGAGGGCAAGCATCGCTTCGACTTCGTCCTCAATGCCGTCGTAGATGCTCTCCGTTGGCAGGCCGTATATCCGCCCAGGGTTCTCCATCTCCTTCTGTTCGAAGATCTGGCCAACTGTGTCCACCCACTGCCGCCGGGTCTCGACGAGTTGCTTCAGCTGCTCGTTGACCGTAAGATGGTTGTCCTCGTCGGGAGTTAGGCCAAGAGCTGCAGGGCAGGGTGCGAGTGGTGCTGGGATATCTTCGGGCTGTACGCTTCCCTTCGCAGCATTGGCGGCGGCGGCAGCAGCAGCAGCAGCAGCAGCAGCCGCTGCTGCAGCACCTTGAAGAGGTTTTTTCTTCTTCTTGCTGAGTTTCGGGACATCCTTCTTCTGCAGCTTGGCGTAGAGGGTGGTGATGTTCTTGTCGATGGCGTCGCGGAGCTCGAGGTACTCTTGATATCCCAATCGATCTTTCGCGACGGGGACCAGGCGCGCTTTCCGTGCCTTGTTGACCGCCACGACTCGACGGAGCTCTCTTTGGGCTTCTCGTAGAGCCGAAGCAATAGGATCGTCGACCTTTTCGGTGAAATCGGGCTGTCCAAATATAAGCAGAGTTCTTTTTAAAGAAAAGAGAGAAATTGGACGCACCACTGCATCAAGCAACCCATGATACCGCATCGTATCTCGTATCCTGGCCTCTAGGTCTGTCACGTTCAGCCTCTCCTTCCTCGCAGCTGCAGCGCCACTGCCACCAGGTCTCCCTTCCATCGCATCCTCCGCAGCTTTCACACCTTTCCAGACGGTCAAGTCAGGTATAGGAAGTAGCGCGCTGATCACTCTCTCCGTAAACGGCCCATGCCCTCTCTCCTCAGCTGCCAAATCCTGATCTGCCAGCGTAAGTGGATCCCACTTTGGTGCTGGCGCCGCAAAGTGCGACGCTGGTGCCACTGAATCTCCCAGCAGTATTGGTGGCAGAACGCCATTATCTTGGTCTTCCCATATCTCGAGATAATGTCGACCGAGTTTTGGCATCACATACGGCTCAACTTCGTCACCAGTATATTCCAGGAAGCCAACATCTTCTTCCTTGATGTTCCTAGTGTACGGCTCGATGCTCGAGTAGAAAGTTGTCACGAGGACCTGCTGAGGTGCTTTCTGTTTGCTGAAGTCTTCTGTAACTTCTGTAGGCTTGCTTGGCCCAGGTATTGGGGGTGGGGGTATAGGCGGACGGGGCGATAGCAGCGGTTGCGAGGGTGGAAGAGAGAAGTCCTGTCCAATGGGTGGCTTTTTGAGACGAGTGAGTTTAGGAGATCGTGGCATGGAGAGAAGAGAAAAACCTTGGTATGTGACGGAGTAGCAGGAACGACAGGTTTTGGCGCTTTAGGAGGGGGTGGAGGGTGGACCACGGGTGGCGATTGTTTTCGAGGTCTTTGCAATTCTTTCGGCGGTTCAGGACATGCTGTACAAAGGCAAATAGATGGAATACCTTGCTCGACCTCGCTTTCTCCGCCTTCACGTTTCCGTTTCTTTTTCTTCTTCTTGAGTTCGTCAGCGGCTCTGCAGTAGGTGTTAGCTGATTTAGAAATTGTTATGACTGGAATATACTTGCGATCGACGTGGGTCTAATGAAGACCGCGAAGAAGACGAGGGAATCGCATTGGCGGATATTGAATGGTTCCGCGATTTCGAGGTGTTTCCGAGGTATGAATTTGATGGTCCATCTGCGTCAGGAAGGGGGGTGACTGCAGAATATTTGTTCAACGTCAGTGTCAAGAGTGTTGAAAAACAGAGTCGCAGCGAGTGCATTCCGGCACGCGGTCAGGCACGGAAATGGCATTGGACGTAAAGGGCGGGATGAATAAAAAGACATGAAGTGAGAGTTCCGCGCCACAGATTTATCGGAAATTTATTGAAGAAAATCCAGATTCGGAGGGCGGTTTAACGCATCGATCCCGCGGTCGCGCAAGTGGATTTAGTGAAATGTGGCCATTGTATGGTGAAGGAAGTCCGGGACGATAGTGGGTTGAACGCCATATGTTTGTCGCAAGCGTTGTTGCAAACGAGCATTTTGAAACCGATATTCATCGTAGCGGGTGTGTTTACGGTTCCAGAAATATTTCGAATGAAGTGGGGATCCCGTCCAGTTGTATACAATGTCGAACAAGTTGTATGGTAAGAATATAGGATGGAGAACGCGGTCAGAATTCAACGGATAATAAGACCCAAATTTACACGTACAGTCGCGTTCGCGCTTTACTTTATCGACCGCCTTGGCTTTGCCCTTTTCCTTCTCCGACAGACGTAGCATAGACTCTTCGATCGTCTCGGTGTCGTGCTTCGCCTTTCGGTGTCGTTCCATCGCCCGTTGCTTGGCCTGCTTGAGCTCAAGCAGAAGCTGCTCAAGATCCTCGACTGGTGGCACAGCATCGGTGGGTTTCTTGACCAAAGGAGACCGGAATTGTTGTACTTGAGGAAATGAAGATAGTTTCGACGTCATGCCGCCGTAACGCGCTATTAAACCTCGCGTTTCGGGGAGGTATGCACGTTCCTAGGCAGGTTCCAAGTGGTCTTGTAGAATAAGACCTAATAAGATATAGGTGGAACGGCCGTTGTCGAGTACTCGCGAAACTTGGTGGAGGTCAGGGTAGAGGTGTGAACAAGCTTAAAGTCACGAGGTATGATAACTCAAAATTCACGTGACCGCTGGTTTCGCAGTAACTTGAATTCAATAAGTTTAACTGTGCAGTGTGGGCTCAGAGTAATATTCTGTAATATTCTTTATTGTCGCTCGTCTCTTTTGAGATCTGCAAAATACGTGCTGAAGTATATGAATAGAAAATGCGGTCGGATGAATAGGAGAACTCTTTGTGTGTGGGCCGGGGCCTGGCCAAGATTATCCCGGGCCGTTACTATTTTGGAAGCCTTGAAATGGTCTGTTGCAACCGAACCGCGATATTGACGCTCTGGCAGGTCCTGGTGTTCAGGCATCATGAACCCAAACTCACCTGGCAAAGACTCCATGGAAGAAGACATCGAAATGATTGGCATGGATGATGTTCAAGACGCACCAAAACGGCACCAAAACGGACCACATATACCTCATCTCGTGCCCAACGAGGATTCTGACGACAGCGACGACGAACACCCGAACGACGATGGAAATAGAGGTCTTCTTACCGGATCTCTACGGTCAGAACGGCATTTTGAACCTCCAAAAGCTTCTGCAGCGAGGATTTGGCCCCAGATAAAAAGCATAGTCATTGAAGTACGTGGCAACGTTATGCTCGGCGTTCTTGCTTCCTGAATTTATCTTACAGAGTGCTCCTACGCTTCTTATGACGACTATCAGTCTCCTTTTTACCGGGAAGTTATTAGACAAGGTCTCGGTGTGTTGTCTGTCACCTCGCCTGTGGCCTCGTTTCACCTCGACTTCCAGCATTGGCGCGCCATGCAAGAAGTCGACCAGCTCATCATGATCATCCCCGTTGTTCTCAACCTTAACGGAAATCTCGAAATGAATCTGTCAGCACGCCTCGGGACAGCAGCTAATGTTGGAGAGCTTGATGATCCAGCAGTTCGACGCATGATTATTATTGGCAGTCTTGCTCTTCTTCAAGTGCAAACTGTATCTGTATCATTTCTGGCAGCATGTGTTGCCCTTGTCCTCGGACGCTTCGTGCCTCGAAGTTCAGCCCATCCTCCCACTCCACCCTCTTCTAGCAACACAACAGCTACAGTCGTTCGCGAACTTATGACCTACGCATTAGACTTTAGAGAAACCTCCCCCGAGATTGGTCGAAGATCAGGCATCCCGACGTACGTTCTGTTTTACGCAGTTTCATGCCTGTTATTGAGACACTTCCCGCAGCTTAATCATGGTTGCCTCAACCGCCATGACCGCAGCTGCACTGTCAGGTCTCCTTTTGGGCTCCTTCATGTGTACCCTCGTTGTCTTGTGCCGGAAATACGATAGAGATCCAGACAATATCGCACCCGCCATCGCCTCATGCCTAGGAGACCTTTTCACCCTTGTCCTTCTTGGATTCGTGTCCACCTTGCTAATCCCATTCATCCGAACACCTATTCCCTTCGTTGTCGGTGTGTTAGTGGTTTGCTGCGCCATCAGCTGCTTCATATATACACTGAAGAACGAAAAAGTCCGACCGCTGCTTAAGGAAGGGTGGTCGCCATTATTCGGAGCAATGGCTATAAGCAGCGGTACTGGTATCGTTCTTGACATGTTCGTTAGTCGATATGCAGGGTTCGCTGTTCTTGCTGTCGTCATCAGTGGTATGCCCTTCGCCTTCAATTATATGCGGGCATCCCTACAGTCATTCTCTTTTAGGTCTACCTGGAGCAGCTGGTTCAATTCTGGTGTCCAGATTGTCGACCTCATTACATGCGGCGGCGCTGTCCCTCAACAACGCACTCCCGTCTTACTCATCATCTCTCAAGCATCCCGAACCCAGTCCACTCCTCACTATGATTACACTACTCGTCATCACGATCCCTGTGGAGATGATATTCCTCTCCATCCTGAATGCCCTTGATTGGCTCAATCTTCCTATATTATTTGTCGCTTTCTCGATTCTCTTCTTTTGCGTTGCTGTGAGTGTTCTTCTGTTGTTAGCCTGTACACTTTGTTCAATTTCAGTGCTTCAGGTCTTTGCATCACTCGTCATCGCGCGTCTCCTGACCAACTTCCTATGGTCAAGAAATAAAGACCCAGACATGTACGCGCTTCCGATACATTCAGCACTCATGGACCTGATTGGCCAACTCCTCCTTGTCCTATGCTTCGAGATCATCTCGAAGATGGGAGGCCAAGTCAAGATGAGAACCTGATGGAACCCCTACGGCTTCCGTTCTGTCACGTATACGCTATCGCACACAGGCCGTCTATTCACTGTATTTACTCTTTCAATGCCTATTCATGCCTGCATTCACCAGTAATCCTTAGAGACATATTTTGCATTGCTCATCTCGCATGCGACTTGCTGTCTGTCTGTAATTATTTTTCACCAGGCACCTCTTTTCTCTTTTCTTTTCCGGCCTGCTCGCAAGGCGTAGACTTCATACTTCAATTTCGGGCATCGGTGAATCACGGTAACGTTTTCACTTGTATTAATTAAAAATTGTGGGCTAACGCGAAATCTCTGAACCAGACATATTGATCTCGCGGAGTCGCGTACTTGTCTTCATGGCCTCCAAAGAAGGTGCTAATGAACGAAATAATGAAAAGATGTATAGACATAGCGATTCGATCACCCACCTGAAGAAGATACCGGCGAACTTCACCTCTTTAGGCTTCGCTGACTGAATACCGAAGGTATCCGACGACACCGATAGGCCTGTTTCTGTCGGTTGCGATTCGTCGACTGTTGGCTGAGGAGATGGTTCAATTGTGCTTCGTGGGTCTCCACTGGTCGCCGATGCATCCTTGTTTAGTGACGGGCTTTCCTGCTGCCTTGGCCGAAGCTCGCGATTTTCGAGGTCCTGCACTTCCTCTCGACGACCACCGTCAAGCAGTCCATCCACCAGACCGCCCAAAATCGGCCCAAGCAAACCGCCATCGTCTGAAGTGGCCGACGTCGGCTTCGAATGTCTCGTCGTTTTGGTGGGTGTCGGTGTCGGTTTGTTCGTTTTCCCATCCTTTCCTCCTCCACTTCCGCTGAGATCTTCCCGATAAAAAACATCTTTTCGATGGATGACGGTCTTGCCGTTGACTTCAAGCGTGAAAACCCCGTCTTTCTCTCCGGGAGTATTGAGGTATACCGTTTGGTGGATCGTGGTCCAGGCGCCTGCTGCCCAAGTGAAGGAGCCACGGCCGATTGACAACCCGTAAGCTGCGTCGCAGACGGAGCCTCGGGCTGTGCAAAGGGCGTCCGTTTGCTTGTCCTTGGGTGCGTACTGAGCTTGTCGTTCAGTGAAAGTCCCTCAACTTATCTAGATATTTGTTTCAGACGTACCAAGTATAGTTCTCCCGCACCATGTGCTCTCCACATCAAACGCGTGCTGAAGCAATCTAGCGCTGCATTTCCTCCAGAGCACCCTGTATGGCCTCCATACAAGCCTGGAAGCTTCCCTGCAAGCACCCAGTCGAAGTTTATCGGGAAGAAGACGCTATATCCTAGCGTCACGTTCCGAGCACCCGAAATGTCGATTGGAGATGCGTAAAATTCTGCTCCTCCCATCGGCTCTTGTGCGGGGTTGATCGAATTTTCGGGATACAAGAGCTGCATAGCTGCTCTCTTGTCGTCTTTCCTCTCGGCTGCCGTCCCATCCTTGTCCGCCGATTCACCAAAGAACGAAGCCACGCTCGCTTCTGCGGCAATACTGCTTACGACCTTGAGATTGTGCTGTCCTCCTGCGAATTTTGTTATCCCAAAGGAGTCGAGGTTCGTCATGTTCTTCGGGGCAACCCATACTTCTTTCGCTGGACCCAAACCAGAGCTTGGTGGTCCTGCAGGTGAAGTCGGGGTCACTGTCGTTGTGGCCGTGATGGTTTCGGTGATAGTTATTTGCGGTCCGGCGACCGTAACCGTCGTTGGTTCCTCCTTCGTCACCGTCACTGTCGCCGGAGGTGTCTCTGGGATTGGGACAGGAAAGGAGGTCGTGGTTGTCATGAAGGAAAAGGAAAACCCAAGTCGACCAACGTCGGAGGGAGAATTTATGGATGCCGGAGGGCTCGAGGTCGACATCGCGATAGATGGGGGACCAAACATAAAGCTATCAACCACGTCTACATGCACGTTTGGGTGGGTGATTAGAAGGGGTGGGTTGGTTTCCGAGCTTTTGGTGTTCACGTATGTTGACGAGTTAGTAGTGTTTTCAAGAGCAGGGGCCGACAAGATAGAAGAGAATTTGCCCAGCAAAATTAGAGAAAGTAAACTTGCTGAAGCCATCCCTGAGCGACGCACGAATAGCTGAACCGACGTGTTCTCGAATCCTGTGTAGGCAAGACGTTGGACTTACTCCTTTCTTTCCGTGTTTCATCGATGCGAACTGTCTGGCTGTCTGGCTGCGTTCAAAAGTCAGTCATGAACATAATGCTTGAAACACCTCGGCCCGGTCGTAAGTGGGATGATGGATCGTCGTCCAGCACATTGACTGCGTGTTCCGAGCTTGTGTACACGTATTTCACGGCCTTAAAATATCTATGTACTTGTATTCCTATCAGCCTCCGTGTACATGAAGCAGAACCCGGGCGTCTCGGTATGATGCAAAAACCGGCTAGAACAGCCATTGCCCAACATCAAGAGTATTTATGTAAGGCGTGGGCTACACGTCCAGTCACCCTCAAATCAAGATGTTCAGATCCTCCCTCATTCTGTACGCCGTGGAACTCCCAACTGAGGCAAAATTTATTCACCCCCTTTTCTAGTGTTGCTTTTGCCACTATCGCAGCTTCGATCAAGCTACACGCTCCCGTTCCAGGACCTGGATTCAACCAACTCGAAACAGACGGAGCGGCGACTATTAGCTGGGATGCTGAGGCTGGAGACCCTCCCTTCATCAGCCTTGAAATCCAAAACGACGTCACCCTCGACTCCTTCGAATTTGCCCGCAATGTTAGGGTCGACTCTGGCTCTGTGACCGGCATCTTGGATGAGGTCCCCGGAGGGTGAGGGTCATCCTTCGTGAAATAACTTGTCAAGTTGGACTTATGTTTAATGCTTTGCCTATTCCAGAGACGCATATTATTTCCAGGCCGTTAATGCCCAGTAAGAGATTTCCAGTGTCCTGCACCCAGCTGTCTGATGATTGGGCCTGTAGCAACGTCCTCGATGTATATGCGACCGGAGAGAAATTCACGGTTGTTGGAGAGATTCCACCCATCACGTACGTCCCTTTACCACTTTACCTCATGAGCATTGCGCTCATCTAAATTCGACAATTTTTGGAAGGAACACTCCGGTGGCGAAACCTACCCAAGCATCTCTTCGCGGATAGTCAATGTACTGCCGTTCCTACAACGTCGTTTACGGCTGACAATGGAGAGATCGACACACGCTCAAATTAGGGGACGGGGTTCGAAAAAACCAGTAGGAAGTAGATGGGAGTTGCCTATCAATAAATGCCCATAAAGCACATTCCTCTTGATGTGGGTCCCAGTAAGCAGGCCTACGATGAAGACTTTGATTTCTTCGATTTTTTTGCTGGCATTTCTGAGGTATCCGCAACATCGCCTTTCCGTTTCTTCCCTTTTGATTTCTTCGCATTCTTCTCAACATCGGGTTCAGGTTCCACAGTCGCTAGTTGTTCGCGTCTTTTCTTGGGGGAGGATTGGTCTGATGTGGAGATTGCTTCGACTTCTGCCATAACCACGTCCTCGGTGTGAGAACTTGTGACATCGACCATCGAGCCAGTGGGCATGAATTTATGCTTGAGGACTTCTTTGGAATAAGAATGACGTGGGGGGTTCGTGTACTGGGTAGCGCCAGCGTCAGTTGGCGGAGTGGGTATGATCGCCTGAGCAGCAACGACAATGCGGTGAGCAATAGGTTTTGGTGCTGCAAGAAATTTGTTCAACAGTAGAAAAGATGAACAGAGCCGAATAAGGCATACCAGGGTAGAGTTTTCCTTTTTTACTTTTGCGAGGCAAGAGGCACGACAAACTCTTAATCTCCTCCCCGCCTGTAGGTTGACTATCGTCATCTCCGACAGACCAGAAGTCAAATGCAGCGTGCTTCCGTTGCAAGGTCCCAATACATGAGCTCTTAGATGACGAAGGCACATCGACCTCGAGGTTGGCCAAGTGCTTTGGTTTAATCTAAGCAACTCGTAATGTTTAGCTTCCAGTTGCTTGACAAAAGACGCCTTTAACTCACCCCCTCCGGAACGCGGATCAGCCACAGCTCAATGTCATCGTCGTTATTCACTGCATCCCAATCAAACTCGCCTGCATCTTCGTCCTTGTCGTTCAGCAGAACAGCTCCAGCAGGAGGCTGATAGTCCCAGTTCAGATCAACCCCTTCGTTTTTTCCATGGTCTGCCGAGGTAGTCGCCTTGCTCTTCCCCTTGTCCCTCGAGGTTTTCTTCGGTGATATCGCGGGTGGTGGTGTAGCGGACGATCTCGACGATGATGATGAAGGCGTCGGGGAGCCTGAAGGCATTTTGGTGGAAGGATGGAAGAGAGGTCCAAGAGAGGTCCAAGAGGTCAAGGGCAAGATCCAAAATGCCGATGGAATATTTATTACTTTCGAGAGCTGGCGCCAGATACGAGCGATCACATGACGTCGACGCATTTAGGCCAGCGCGGAGCGACCCTGGGAGCTAGCTCTTGATCCTGTCCAATACCTCGTAGTTTGAAGTCGGGTCTTGTTCAAGATCTCAAACATCTTCGATAAAAAGTTGCATGTCATGGCAGACCTCGTCCTGCGAAAATGCGGTATCTGCCATGAAGATTCTATCCCCCTTGACCAAGTCCTTTTCTTTCAATGCGGTATGTATCCAAGCATTCTGTAAATTTATTCAAGATTAACTTTCCAAACAGGACACTGGTTGTGTAGAGTATGTACTGAGCACGTCGACTTTCGGAAGAAATCCGTGTGCCAGGAATGTAAACAATCAATCGGCATACCCCACCGCATTTATCTTCACCTAGACGATCTTATCGAGCAGCAAGCCAGCGAAGTCGTCGCAGGATTGCGGAAGATAAATATGGATACACCTGCAGCTAGCGTCGAAAGAGCGGCGGGGAAAATACGACGTATGCACAAACAAAGCGATGGCGACCCAGAAACCTCGGTGAGTCTCTAGCCGCGCGTTCCCTAAGGCAATTTTACTGAGACAAAGAATAGAAGGCACTGCTCGATGCCACGAAGGAGTTGGAGGAAAGAATTGCACCACTGTATAGCAAGTGGGCAGCGGTCAAGCGAGAGAACGACGACCTCGTCACGCGATTGCAGGCTCTAGAAGCTGCAAACCAGCACTATCAAGAGACGAGTAAGAAGGCAAGGCAGATTGCCCGGCACGAGAGGGAGGAGAGTGAAAGGCTGGGTAAGCGAGCTGAAGGTTACCGTTTGATGTTGAGAGAGAAAGATACGGAGATCATGGACCTCCAAAAAGAATTGGAAGAGCGGGAGAAGAAGGTGCGCTTCCTAGTTCAAAAGACACCAGCTCGTAGTGCTTACAATATTCCTGTTAAAGATGGGTCTGTTGAACACCAAACTCAAGGCTTTGACGAAGACGGGGAGGCACCAACGTCCTCCAATTCACAACAGCCCCGACACGTCCCTGCGGATTGAGGGTCTTCGAACACCGGTACGCAAGTCATTTAAACCCATGGCCAGCAAAGCCTGGATTTCAACACTTCACGCGTCTTTCCAGGGTCTGCCGACCAAGAAACTGAAGCATCCGAGATCAAAGACCCTGCTTCACGACCTCAATGTAGATCCTGACGAACAACCGAAGAAGAAACGGAAAGGTGACCCTCTGAACTATTTGAACATCAGAGATCCTGTTCCATTAGGGACATGATGACGAGAGCAAAGCAATGTGTAATGTACAATATGCAAGATATAGTTCCACTGGATTGATGGACAAAGAAAACGGAAGTCAAAACAATGAAAGCGTATCAAAGCAAACCAAGCATTGCGTAGAAAATAATCCGGAAGTCCCCATCTAGGCTGTTCACGCCGATGTATCCAAGATGGCCTTGCTCCACCGGCGCATACACAACAGCAGACTTGACAACCTCTTCCTTGGGCTTCCACAAATCCGGGCGATTCTGCACGGAATAAACGGCCATTTCCTGTGTGATTCCATCAACATACGTCCCTTCAAGCCGGAACGAATTAGACAGCTTGGAGTCCTTGTCGGTCCGAATGAGGTCGTTCTTGAGATTCTTCGCTACGACAGCGTCATCTCGACCGGGACATAGGTCCCACTCGAGGCCCCAGTTCTTTTGGAAGAACGGGCGGAACTGCGTCATCGAGGCGCGGTGGGAAAAGAAACGTGCAAAGACAAGGGTGCCACCGTTCTTCGAGTATTCGACGAGCTTTGAGAGCAGGTACGCGTTGGATGGGGCCATGATATCAGCGTCTGTAAGGAGAACTCCAGCGAGGTCGGGTGACTTGAGGAGCTCGGCCACACGAGCGTTCGAGAGGCCGAAGAGGATTTCCACTTTTGATTTAGCATCTGCCATGAAGTCTTTGTCAAATGTCTCGATAGCAGGCTTGCTGGACCAGGAGAGGACGATGATGAACTTTTGCGAGTCTGGCATTAGGGCCTTGGGAAGGGCCAACAAGTCGAACATCGCCAGTAAGACCTTCGTGCTTTCAGGTTCTGCGTTGACGTCGCCAATGTAACCCAGCTGTCCGTTCCCAACGTGTGTCTGGAGGACAGGAGCTTCCCAAGCTTCGCCACCGGGTGGTTCGAAGTCCGAATCATATTCATACTCCTGGAAGTATTGCTCATACAGCATGTCCGACGGAAGGAATCCGGTGACATGAACAGCGGTCATATCAAATGATTCAACAAGGGTCTCTTCGTTCTTCACAGCAGTTTCATGGTGTCGGTTGAGTTCAGCCTCTGCACGACAGTTGCTTCCTGTTTTCCACTTTCCCAATCCGAACGCAGCGAAGACATCCTCCGCCTGCTCTGGTGTGGTCGTCTTCGGGAAGAGACCACCAATGGCGGCTTGCCCTCCATTTTTGACCCAGCCGACGACCTTGGTCAGAACGAGCTTGTTCGACGCGCTTGCGATACCTTTGTCGGCAATGAAAACCCCGCCGAGGTTGCTTGAGGCAAGAGAAGTCAGTGCTTGTTCGGTAGTCTTCGGGATCTTCACTTCTGCAACGCGTTCGCGGAGGGCAAACAACTGGTCTGCATTCGTCCGCTCGAGCATGGTAGCATCCTGAAGGGCAAGAACGACGATGCACTTGTCCAATTTGATGAAGTTCGCGCCTGCCCCATTCGCGGCGGAGGCTGCCGATTGGTTCTGCTTCTGTTGGGGCTCTGGGGTAGGGTCCTTCTTGGGTTGTTCTTTTTGCTTCTGCTCTTGCTTTGACGGGCCAGCTTTTGTATCCGATGTATGACCATTGGAACCTTGGGATGACGGACGCGGGTTGGAATTCCTCGATGTCGAACCCGAGGGTTGCTTTGGGTCGGGAAGAGGTGGATTCGGGTTGTCGAGAAGGCCAAGCATAGCCAGGATGGTATTCGTAGATCCGTTCTCTCCATTGGCATCGCCCAGGAAGCTGAAAAGGCCACGCTCAACACGTGCACACACCGCAGGCGCTTCTGAGTGATCTGTAATCCTTGTAGGAGCAAAGACCATTGATTGGATACGCGACTCGTCCGTTGGACCATACAAAGCATGCTGGCCCAGGATGTTGCCGGCATGGAGTGCCTTCATGCTGTACGTAGGTACCAGCGACGGGTTTCGCTTGACGATCTCGTTGGCAGGGTTCAAGGCAAAAGTAGTTCGGTGGTAGGAGCCGTACGTCCAATCGAGTCCAAAGGCCTTCGTAAAGACAGGGAAATCGGGCGGACGGACAAAGCTACTGAATGAACCTCCTGCGACAAATGTGCCACCGTCTCTGACGTATTGGACAATTTTGCCGAGGAGGGCGGAGTTCTTCCGCTTCGAAAGTGCTGCATCAGTGGCAAAGACAGCGGCAAGCCCAGGAGACTCCAGATATTGCGTGGCCTGTTGGGTGGTAGTTGCTTGAACGCATCGAATTTTCTGCTTGAGCGCGTTCAGTAGATGGGTATGAATATTAGCAAAGAATTCTTCTTCCAAAGATAGCAGCAGCACGAAGCGGCCGGAGGAAGCTCGTTTTCGTTTTGCCTCTTCAGCAGTGGCAAGAACACCAAGCTGATGGAATTCGAGGAGAGAGAGGATTTCTTTGCGGTGTCGACGAGCTCCACATTTACGCGCCCGTGGATTATCCCTCAGAGCCTTGTTGACCTCGTCGAATGTCTCTTCCATCTGGACAATTTCTTTGACTTTCTGGGCAGCTCGGACCTGGTCGGGGTAATTCCACCACCCCTGTGCAGGAAGGTATGTCTTGTCATGGGAGTAGACACATTTGTCACCGAACTTGCAATTTCCCATGAGGAAATTAGCACAGACGTTTCTCCCACTGGAGCAAGGGGTCAGGAAGCGACCTACCATCACAAAATGGGTACTGTGAACTCACAGCTCGTCTCGAACACTCCTGTTATCCGGTGCATGCGAGAAACGGCAAGAATTTCCCCTCCCACAGCCGTCGTGATTGTAAAACCGACAAGAAAACCCTTTTCCACTTCCAGTACGCGCACAGTCGGGACTATCTGAATCAGAACAGTCTGGCCAGGGCTCATCGTCATACAAAGGGTGTGTATCATCTTCGTCGCTGCCGTAATTGAAACGGTCTCCAGATGCTAGGAAAGACCGCATAAGCTTGAGTTCTTCGTGAGCTTCTCGACAGTTAGGATCATGACGAATGATTGTGTCGAAATCTATTTGGAGGAATACGCTTGAGTGGCATAGAAGAAAGAATACGCAAACCAACCTTTTTCTGCTGCTTCACATTTCATGACACCCTTCCGTGCCATTCCTCTGCGAAAACGTGCCTTGATCATTTTTGGGTCATACTCGAGCGCTGTTGTAGCAGCCCATTCAGCAGCGTCGTCCCTTGAGAAGGAAGTGTTGTTAGAGACCCTTTCAAAGAACAGATTGAGAGAAGAGGTATGACATACTCCTCAAGTTTGAGATAGACTGCAGCCAGGTTGGACATGAGGACCGGTCTTGGTCCTTGAATGTAAATTGCTCTCACATAGCATTTTGCTGCGTCAACATAGTCTCCGGCCTTGAAAAGGTCATTTCCCTATAAGTTTCGTTAGGAAGTTATCTAGAGAGAAGAGCCTAAGAGAAACCTACCTTCAATCTCAAAGCATCACCATCGCCCTCTCGCTTCGCTTTCTTCACCGCGCGTTGAGCACGTCGTGCCTCAACCGCAGCTTGAGACGGAGGCATCATAAAACGGGGGTTTTGCGAGGAGGTAGGAAGAATTTCGATTTAGAAATGTTTCGGAACGTCGAATTCTGGCGCGTTCTTTGACCGCAGAAAGTGTCACTGGTCAAGGTGGGACGACGACTCCGTAGGACCTCATAGAGGGACCTGTACAGCTGAGTTTGAAAAGGGGTTGTAGCGGTTATGATCGAGCGATAGTCTGTTTTCACGTACGGGGTTCAAACCGTACTGCAGGATTTCGGAGTTTGAATCATCACGTGAACGCCACTCACAACCAAACAACGCGGACGCTTCCCCTAATTAGCCCAACAAATGCTAGAAATGCTCGTCCACACATCCCTTGTAGCCCCATAGAATGTATTTAAAATACTGATACATCATTATGTGCACTTAGGATCATGTAATAAGGCAGCTACTTAGGCTCGTAGCAAGAAGGCGTAAGTTACCCGTAAGTTACAGGTGAACACTCCCACCGAGACACTCTCGCGAGATGGCAGCCCCGCGCCATTGAGAAGCAGAGCTATCAAGTTCGAGGCATGCGCCGATCTCCTAAAGGAATAGATATTGCAGCTGCAATGACCGCTGGGTGTAGGCAAGTCGGGTCACGACTGCTTCCTGGTGGTAGCATCGTCTGGGACGCGAAAAGTTAGAACGTTCTACTTACCTTTTGAACTGAGCAGGCACCGTTCAGCAAAAACCCTCGACAACCGCTCTCAATGGCGCACACAATGCCCCACACGCTGCTGTCGACTTCTCCCCATCGCCGTTCTGTGTAATGACTCCAACATTGAGTCAGACTGCGAGCTCTCGAAAACGTCGTACAGGACGAGGTCGGAGCTGGAGGAAGGGGTAACGAGAGCTGGAGGTCGAGACACCGGTAGCCACAAAGTTATTAGTCCGCTTAGCGAAGGTATTCATACTCGACTCACTAGTCTCTGCTATCCCGGTTCTTCGCGCAAAGCCCGCCGATTCATATACATGCCTGTGCAGATGAAGCCGGGTGCCAGGCATTGAACACAAAACTAGAAGGGAGTTCTATGGCACAACACTGCCGTCGCTGGGCAGCGTGCGTAGGATGGCGTTCCACAATGGCAGCTAAAGAAGTGAGTGAGGCAAACAAACTGTTCAGGACGCGTTTACCGTCGCAGAACTCGACGACAACCTCTCACGCTGCCCACTTCAAGAGAAATATCCTCCTCCTCGACGACCCCGTTGCGAGACGTCAAAGCCATAGGCCAATAGGAGACAGGTAGGCAAGTCGAAGAGGCGTCTTGAAACTGTTAGGTGTGACATGTTGGGGTGGATTGAGAGAGGAATGGAGGTGAGGAGCGCGAAGACCTGTAGCAGGAGCGTAATGAAGCAGTTTGAAGGAGCTCTTGTGGGTGCGTAAGAAGAGTAAGTCGTGTAGCAGGAGACCTTTGCCTACTCTTCCATGGCTCTCGTGATGTTCGTTGGCTCAGTGAATCCGTAAAAGGAAATTACACGTGACTTTTCGTTGAAATCCTGCAGTGCGATTCGACCCCCGCGCGTGAAATCAGACTACATACGTAGGACTTTATCCTTCAGGCTGGCTGCGGGAGACTAGCTTGCTCCGGTGAGATGTTTCCGACACGCAACGACTTCATGCTGTACGACTGCACTAGGGATGGGTTTCTGCTTGCAACCTCGTTGACGGGATTCAAGCTGAAGAGGGATCTATTGTACGAGCCGTACGTCCACGGGAGCCCGAATGCCCTTGTTAGCTTCTCGAACTCGGTTCCGCTGACGTGCGTGCTGAAGGACCCTGCTACGAGGATCGAGCCACCGTTCTGAACGTACCCGACGATCTTGTTTCGCAAGGCGCTATACTTGCGTCTCGCAATTCCGGCGTCAGTGGCGAGCACGGCAACGAGATGGGGCGAATCGAGGAGTGTAGTTGCCTGTCTTGCGTTAAACACCTGGACGACGCGGACTCTCTGTTTCATGGTGCTCATCAGGTGCTTATGGATGTTCAAGAAGTTATCTTCTTCCAAGGAGACAAGAAGAACGAAGCGTTCTGTCGGAGGAGTGGTCTGCGGTATTGCGTCGACGGCTGCAACACGTCGGGCATCCTCCATCACCCACGAATGTGAATACTGGAGATTTTCGAGAATTTCCTCCCGATGTCGTCGAGCGCCAAACCTACGTGCCTTCGGATTGGCACGTAAAGCTTTGTTAACTTCCTTGTAGGTGTGTCGATTCTCAACGAGTGGCTGGATGACTTTTGCCGCTTCAACTTGGTCGGGATAGTTCCACCAACCATTGGGTGGAAGATAATTCCTGTCATGCGAATACGGGCAACTCGCTTCTCCGGACGCGCAATTCCCTAGAAGGTAATAGACACAGACGTTCTTGCCTCTGTAAGTTGGACGTCAGCCAAGCAGCCTTCATTGAATGACAACCTACAGTTCATCTCGAACACTTTTTCTGTCAGGTGCATGACCCAGTGGACAACCTATTCCATTTTCGCAGCCCCCGCGGTTATAGGCCTGGCATGGAGGCTGAGCGACTTGATCAATTCCAAGATGCTTGCAGTCAGGGCTATCTGAGTCAGAATAGGACTCCCAAGCTTCGTCACTGAACCCGGGGTGTTCTTCATCGTCACTTTCGTGTTCGAGTTCTTCTGAAGTTGCCGCCAACAGCCCACGGACAATTTCAAGTTCCTGGTGCGCCTCTTGACAATCTGGGTCGCGTCGCAGAATCGCCTCGAAATCTGGCATTGTCTGTTCGGGCGCAAGTGGTGCGTCAAGAAATCGAAGACATACCTTTCCTTGCTCCGTCGTAAAGGAACGTGTTCCGGCGCGCTATGCCTCTTCGGAAGCGCGCCTTGACCAGCCGCGGATCGAATTCAAGGGCGATCGTCGCAGCCCACGCTGCAGGCTCGTATCTATGAACGCTCGTCAACGTCCTCCTTTTTGTCTCTACTCGCCTTATCATACGTACACCTCAAGTTTCAGGTATGTTGCCGCGAGGCTGTATTTCTCCCCTTCTTCCGTCCCAATGGCCTTTCGAGCGGCGCGTTGAGCACGACGCTCCTCCACTTGCGGCGGGACCGAGGCTTGAATCGACTGCTCCATTAACTGCGACGGGGTGGTGGTGGTTTGAATGCAAGGTCCAAAGCAGCGGTGCTTCCATTTTAATACCTTCAACGTTCATGAGACAACAGCCAAGAGAGGTAATGAACCCCTGGACAGCGAAATCTTATCTTATCACGAGCTACAACCATTGTCCAGGATTCCTTGGCCAAAGTTCCACCCTTTCGTCCCCCCGGAAGAGAAAGAACATCTCGTCGAGAGGACTTGAAGGTATGTATTGGCCTAGACGGTGGCGCAACTGTAACTTAGCGCCCGTCGGCGTTGTTGGTGGTCCGTAAGCCGTTGGTCCATCGCGGCAATTTCAAAGCACTGCCAGTGGCTCCTAACATCGAATTCCCCAGTCCTGGAGACCCTAAAGTACCTGAACGCCATGTTTTCGAAGTGGGTGATTGTGGGTCTACTATCGATTTGTATTTAACTGTGGATGAATTTCATCGCCTATGTATGCGCGTACTGGTTGTAAAGTGCGAGTGTAAAGGTGAAAAAAGAATATCTAGTCTGGCAGATTTTTTGCCCAAGAAAAGAACGAGCACGAGCACTTGTAACTTAGCGCCCGTCGGCGGTGTCGGTGGATTACGTAGATTATTGGGGCCGATCACGTCGTCACCGTCAACTTCCTCACCTCCCCACCCATGCTCCATCTGCCAATCATCTTGTGCAAGAAACGCAATGCATCCCCCAAGTTTCGATTTCTTGAACACTATCTGGACCTTCAATTTCAACGTTTAGCCCTGCCACAACTCCTTCCGACCCGACCGCCTCTCGCTAAATCTACTGTTTTGTCACTGCCTCAAACGCGGATATAAAAGCAGCGATCGAAAAGACTCGCGGACGATCACTTCCTTATTCCCCGGTCTCCAATGTCTTCTCTCCAAACAGAACCACTTCACATGCTGGACGTCGCGGACCACATCTCTCTGTTGCCCAGCAGCCCTCTTACTCCACCTGAAGACAAGCAACCAGACGCTTTGTATGTCGATGTAAACACCTCCGACCATGATGAAGATCAGCCAATAAGTACGTCCTTATTTGATTTCACCTATAATCTTCCTATTTTCACTGCTGTTCCTCCAGATTATTCGCAATATGTATCTCAAGGCAAGGGTCTCACATCCGTAGCAAGTATCAGTCAGGACGGCCGAATTTCTGTACGCTTCGATCTGAAGGACACGGATTCGATTCCGGATATCTCTCGCAATCTCACCGACGTTGAGGAATTCGCGGTCGACCAGGAGTGGAGGGACTACCCCAGCATGAGCATCGTGATTATGATTGTTGGAAGCCGAGGTACGCACCCTCTCTGTTCACATGAGTGGCTTATCTCAGGCCGGTGAGGATAGGTGACGTTCAACCTTACGTCGCCCTCGGACAGCAATTGGCGAAAGACGGACACCGAGTGCGGATTGCGACGCACGAAACATTTTGGTCTTTCGTTGGCGATGCTGGCTTGGAGTTCTTCAACATTGGTGGAAACCCACAGGATTTAATGAGTTATATGGTGAAAAGTGAGTTTTGCCTTTATAATGCATTAGACAGGCGTTCTCATCACTGTCTGTGCTTGCTCTAGATCCTGGTTTAGTTCCGGGAATCGAATCCCTCACCAATGGCGATATCAAGAACAAGAGGAAGATGCTCACAGAGGTACGGCAGCGTGGTTGATTATGAGACTCCCGGTGTTCAAAGACTTCCTGCCTAAAGATGATTAAAGGGTGTTGGCTGTCATGTCATTCTCCATGTCCAGAGACAGGACGTGCTTTTGCAGCGGACGCCATCATATCAAACCCTCCGGCATTCGCTCATATCCACTGCGCGGAGGCACTTGGGATACCGCTTCTCATGAGCTTTAGTCGGTCAAGTCCTACTTCTGAGTTAATATCGTCGTGCTCATGACTCTACTTAGCGATGCCCTGGTCTCCTACAACTTCCTTTGCCCATCCCCTAGTCAACATCACGAACTCGAACGCTGGCAGCAGCCTCAGCAACTACCTAAGCTATGTTGCAGCTGACCTCTTGACATGGCAAGGGTATGGATTTTCGTATTGTCCACTCTAAACATCCAGCTAATGTCCGGTTAGGATTGGCGATATCATCAACACTTTTCGTACGAAGACACTGGGTCTTTCCCCGTTGACTCTCCGTTCCGGCCCAGACTTTGTTGACAGGACGAAAGTACCGTGGACGTATTGCATGAGCCCAGCCCTAGTTCCGAAGCCGCTCGATTGGAAGAATCACATCGGTACGCAGAATGCAGTATGTTGGACTCAAATGCATCTGGCTGACCCACGCCGTAGACGTCGTTGGCTTTTACTTCCTCGACTTAGCATCTAAGTTCCAGCCAGCGCCCGAGTTAGCAGCTTTCTTGGAGGCAGGAGAGCCGCCTGTGTACATTGGGTGCCGAATCACCTCTGAAAGCCGTGATTCAGTTGAATTGACCCCAATCCTTTAGTTTTGGCTCCGTCGTCGTGGACGATCCTGCAGCAATGTCACGTACGCATATGTTCATTTTCCCATGTCCATTTACTAATTCGAAACAGATATCATCTTCGAGGCCACCAAGCAAGCGGGTGTCAGAGCGTTGGTCTCAGCCGGATGGGGCGGCTTGGGAGGAGTTTCTGTCCCATCGCACATCTTCATGTTGGGCAACGTGCCTCATGACTGGCTTTTTGACAACGAGCGTGTCTCTGCAGTTGTTCATCACGGGGGAGCAGGTACTACTGCAATTGGGTTGGCAAAGGGCCGTCCGACTATTGTTGTACCGTTCTTTGGAGATCAGGGTTTCTGGGGTACGCCATTGTGCCAGAAGACATTTGTTACTCGCTGACTGAACCGCGTGTCTTCTGTAGGGAGCATGATTCACAAAGCGGGTGCTGGCCCGAAACCTATCCATCACAGAGAGTTATCCATCTCGAAGCTTACCGAGGCTATCAAGTTTGCCACTAGCCCTCCAGCAAAGTCGGCTGCGAAGCAGCTTGCCCAGAAGATCCGTGATGAGGTCGGCCCCCTATTGCTGATGGCTTCTTAACCAGCTCTGACCAAGACTCCAGGATGGTGTCCGGAAAGGAGTAGAAAGTTTCTACAAACATCTCCCGCTGCTCAATATGAGATGCGACCTGGACCCTTCCCGGTTGGCGGTATGGTGGTCAACGGAACATGTATGGGGTCCCCATCCTGCAGTTATACCTTCATTTTCATTTTCCACAGTGCTTGAAACTTAGTGCTTTCGCTGCTCAAGCGCTCTCGGATGCCAAGATGCTCGACTTACGCTCCTTAACCTTACATCGTATGAACTCCCGCTCATATACTTCCTTCATTCTCAATTGAGCGATCTTTTAGGACCTAAGGAATATAGGACTCGCACGAAACCGGTCGAATCGTTGATCAGCATGGGCTCCAACCTTTTCTGGTATCTGACCAATTCTGTTTGCTCGTATGTTCTGCTTTTCATCCGATCGGAATATCTCTCATTGTTGTCAAGGACCCCTCTGAAACCTATAAAGAGTCCAAAATCTGTTCCTGGACCTCTCCCATCTCATCCGTCGCATGGTATGTCCTACGACGAAATAAGTTCGAATGTATCTAAAGCTATCATCAGGAATAATGTCAGCGGTGGCGTTGATGCATGAGGGTTTAACGAATCCCACTGGAAAACAAAGGCCACCAACTAGAACCTCGGAAGATTCTGTCGTGGAAAACGTCAGCAAAGGAAAGGAAAAGGTAGGTCTCCTCGCCTTTGCTATGATGTATCTATCCTCAGCGTTGCTTCAGAGAGCCTCCTTGCCAACTACTCCGACAAAAGAATCAGAGCGCACACACACACGAAAAGAGGTCTGTTCGAGTTGCAGGACTTTCTGGTTTCTTATTGATAGCATTCTATTATAGTTCCTCGTGTCTACTCTCAAAGACGCGGCTGTAAAAAGTAAGAATAAATGGCCCGTCGTAGCGCATATGCTAAGTTAATTAATTCCCCAGTAATACATAACGCAAAGAAACCACCTCATCTCGACTTCGTCTCTTTGCCAGTCCATAGAGGTGCATGGAAGAGCGTGCAATCCTCCGCCGGCAAGGACTACGAACACCGACCCCGTCTAACACGAATTGCGGCTGGCCGAGAGGACGTGCGCAAAAGTACTGCTTCGCAACGCGCACACATTATCAGGCGCTTTGAGGAGGAGAGTTGCCAAACTCCACATAGACAGAAGCTGTACCAAGACGCCATCCGGCGTGCTGTGAAGGATGGGATGGAAATTGATGTGTCGAGGGCGAACGGCGGCTATAGTTCTTCGCGTTCCTCCGGAGACCTACCAGACGCGCCTCCTGCGAGTAGGGCAACGACCATGGCGATGCCTAGTGCTAGCGGGGACACCGGGAATACAACAACATCCGTCTCGGGTTCTCCATTGGTCACTCCACTGAAGACATAGATAACACAAACGCGTCATTTTATCGTCAAGTGGGGGAATTTCGGCTTTCTCATGACAGGACAACACGTCCTTCTAAGTGTCCAAAGAGTGCCGTCTATCACTTTTATACTTGCCTGCAAATGTATGATACCAGGACTGACTACAGCTAACTTATTGCTCCTTTTGCTTATCTTTCTGGAAATATCTAAATAGACACTGTATAGAGTATGCACCCGTATGGACTACAAACATATCTAACTATCCACGTCCACGTCCATAGCTGCAGGAGTAGAAATCGTCTCTTCTGTGGCCGTCTCCGCTTCTTCCTTCGCCGCAGCTGCAGCTGCCGCGGCCGCGGCGGCAGCAGCAGCGCCCCTTCCTCTTCCCCGGCCTCTACCTCTACCTCTACCTCTTCCCCTCTTGGGCGGAACAACGCTGGGTTCTGGAATGACTTCTGCTGGGGTTTCTCCGTCCTCTGTTGCTGGCGTCGCGGGTGTACCAGTATCAGCTGGAGTCGACGCGGCAGCACCTCTTCCCCTTCCCCTTCCACGACCACGCCGCCCTGCTCTTCCTCTACGACCAGATGTTGCACCTCGGCCTCGTGAAACAGGTGGAGTCTCCTGATCGTTATCATTATCGCCATCGAAGAATTCATTCCGTGCTGTTGACCTCCCAAGACGTTTCTCCCCTGCCTGTCCAGTACCTTTCTCCTCGTCCTTTTCCTCCGTTGTCCTATTCTCGTCGGCCAGCAAGCCTTGCAAATCTGGCGGGATCTCTTGCATCGCCACACTCGGGGCCCCTTGTAAGTACCTCAGCTTGTTACGTATGCTAATTGTGATACGCTGAAGTGACGCTGGGGAATTCTGGTTGTCGACCTTGCCCGTGAGCGGTGGGTGTAGCTTCCAGTGCGAGTCAGCGAAGAATGCATCGTACACAGTACGCGGCAGCTCGTCAGGGATCTCCGCACCAACGAGGACCGACGTCTCGTACGTCCAGCATCTTGACACATTCTTGATTGTGTATCCGCCTCCGCCGACAACGAGGAGGGGTACATTATATTTCCTGACGAAATTAACGCATTCACCGTGCGCAGCAATAGAGAGATTGAAGGCGCCTAGCCGGTCGCATCCAAGAGAGTCGGCGCCGCACTGTAGGACGATTGCTGTTGGACGAAAGGCGGTGACGGTGTCCTCGATAACAGTTTTGAAGATTGTTAGGTACATGTCGTCGTCGATCCCGTCTTGCAGAGGTACATTGAGGCAGAAATGCTTCCCTGGCCCGCTGCCGTTGTCGTCCAGCTTACCTGTACCAGGGAAGAAATCACCCGTGTATTTGTGAAAGGAGACCGTCATCACTCGGTTGGACTGGTAGAATGCAAGTTCGACACCGTCACCATGATGGATGTCGATGTCGATATACAAGACCCGGGGATGATATCTTCGTAGATAGTCAGCCATGTATTAGTTGTACGACAAAAGGCCACCAACCTTAGGAGCTCCAAGATAGCGAGGACAATGTCGTTAACATAGCAGAATCCACTTGCTTCCCCGCGTTTCGCGTGATGTAAGCCGCCCGACCAATTTATCGCAATGTCCGTCGTACCTGCGCACAGTTTACGCGCGCCAGCCAACGAACCACCAGCATACATCCGGCAAAAGTCGTACAAATCCGCGAAAATGGGACAATCTTCAACACAATTGAAGTTATCAATCATTTGTCTCATTTGAGTTTGGGTTTGTGGAGTGACTCTGCAAAACTGTTATCCTCAGAACTGTCGCCACAGTCCCGCCATTACGCACTTTGACAGAAAATCGATGTAGTCACTATCATGGTAATTTTCCAGTTCTTCTTTCGTTGCTGGACGCGGATCGTAGATATTGTGAATCTGCTTATCCAGGCCATAACCCATGACAAGGGCATTTGTCAGAGTCAGCCGGTGGGGTTTCATTGGATGTCTTTCCTGCTGAAAGCAATAAGCGCTCTGGAGTTGAATCTGATCAAGTCAAACCAATCTACCCCATAATGTTGTGCGCCAACTCCTTTCGGAAAATAATACGAAACTATTGGGCGCGAGTGTGGCTAGGAGATTTATAGTTGTCAAACAATCGTGTGCAATGCATTGGACTAAGGCGTACATTGATGCGCTCCGTGATTGGTTGAGCGGTTCCATGCGGTCCGCGGTCCATGAAATACGGCGCGGACGAGAAAGTCATCGAAGTCGCTTGTGACGACCGTACCATCTTTTCTATGCAATTCTGATGTAATTAGGAAAAGGAAATCTAATCTAAGAGAAACGTCCAAAGAAAGCCGTGAGCTTTGAGCGACGTTGAATATATTGCAGCAGAAGAAAAGCTTACATATAGCCTTTATGGGATGTCCTCGTCGCGCTCCT